AATTCATGCCCTCTCTTCCAGCTCTTTTTCTATTCCTCCATCATTTCATCTTGTCATCATGGACCTTTAAAGATATGCGGAGTGACTAGCCATATCGGCGTCAAGGACGAAGCACTGATGGTGTTATAAATAGATCCTGCATTGTTACAGCCAATGCAACAGAATAACAGCTTTTCGGGAGTAGCCGCGACGTACCCAGAGGAATCACCATATCCCTTCATCTCTTCACCCGCCTTCGCTCCTCTCTCACCACACTCTCCTCTTAATATTTCTCATACCCCTCAGCAGCAGTCCCAGAGCCTATCTGGATCCCAGAAGCAGGAGAAGCTCGACGTGAATCCTTCCTTTGTGCAGCAAAATACTTTCTCGACACCTAGACCGTTCCAGGGGCGCAGGTCGTCCATTTCCTCCATTCATCCCCGTCCATCTGCCCGCACCTCTCCAGCCCGAAATGAAGCCGAGGATGATAACGAGAAAGGAAGGTGTCCTCACCCGGACTGCGGCCGTGTCTTCAGGGACCTCAAAGCTCATATGCTCACTCATCAATCGGAACGTCCCGAAAAGTGTCCGATCGTGACCTGCGAATACCACCTAAAAGGATTCGCACGAAAATATGATAAAAATCGCCACACATTGACACACTACAAAGGGACCATGGTTTGCGGTTTCTGCCCTGGATCGGGCTCTGCTGCTGAGAAAAGTTTTAACCGTGCCGACGTATTCAAACGCCATCTCACCACAGTACACGGTGTTGACCAATCTGCCCCCAACGGCAGGAAGAAAACTCCTCCCTCCGTCCCCAGTGGGAAGCTGTCTAGCTATTGCCAGGATGCCACCGGTAAATGTTCCACATGTACTGCGACATTTTCCAGCGCCCAAGAGTTCTACGAGCATCTTGACGATTGCGTCTTGAGAGTAGTACAGCAAGAAGAACCCTCTGAGGCCATCAACTCCCGAAGGCTGACCGAAGTCGCTTCCGACGAGGCTGTCCGTGACACCATGGAGCGACACATGCTGTTCGAGCCAAATGCCGCATATGTCGAAGATAGTGAAGACATCGACGACGCCACGGAAAAACAAAATTACTCGTCTAACTCTTCCGTGAAGGGCTCTCTCACCAAGTCCAACTCCACCAGCAGTAAGGTGACCAAGAACCGCGTTTCTGCCTCGAGACGCCGGAATAACCGAAACAATTACCCTCCCTCGTGGAGCTGTCCCAACAACAAGATGAAAATGAAGCGACGTCTCCTCTGCCTGTACGATGGCCCTCGCCGTCTATGGAAAGATGAGATGATGCTTGACAACGAGTTTGAGGTCCGACTCAAGCTCCCTGCCAGCGACTGCATGGGGCGAGAGACTTATGTTACTGATCTCGATATCGAAACTCTGAAGCGATCGGAGGGTGTGCTTAATGCCACCGAAGAAGAAAAGGGCCCATGGATCCAGGACCCCAATGCCACTGAAGGTCTTATTGGGCCAACCGCAGTCCCGGTTATCGAGCATCCCATGAAACTGGGTGATGAACTCAACATCGACGATCTTATGGGATAGGAGCTTCTCTACAAGGGTCATTCCAAGGGTGAAAAAAAGGACAACCCACTTCATAATACCCCCTCAATTTTCAATTGATACCCCCATCTACGTCCCGACCCTGGCTATCGACCATGGGCCCCTTTCTATACATACCTGCATAATTATGCTCTCCACCCCAATCCCTTATTTTATTACCAAACCTGCCTTGGCATATTTTCACATTTCATCAACCGGAGCGAAAAAGCTCCTTGTTCTCTAATCGGTTTACGGTTACCATTCACCTCGTACACTTTTTTAACTCATGACAGCATTTTCCTTCTTTCCATCTTACTACCATTTATTCCCATTATGTGCATTTTCGAGGGTCGCCTGTCATTCGGTATATTTGTTCTTGACTTTTTGCCCATGCGTGACATAGCTGGCGCCTTGTGTCTTCTAAATTCGTTTGTGGTTGTTTCTAATTTTTGGCTGGGTTCCAAAGGGGGAAAAAGAATTGGGAATCAAAAGATGGGATAATGGTATATAATTGACTTATGACCATAAAATGAAAATGCATATCAACACTACCATAATCTTCTATCTGTACTTGTAAATGATAACCCTTTTGCTTTAATCAGTATTATCAGCAGCCAGGCGCCGTCCTATACAAGTATATTCACGTGGCTGCGTTATTTCGTAGAGAATGCTTTAGATTACATAATCAACCGCCTTACTTTGATCTCGAGCTTCTTTTTGATTGCCAAAGACCAAGCAACGACACGACATGATATCACGATTCACGACTGTTTAAGGAACGATTCATGAGCTTTCTTTTGCATTCCGAACACACCTGTACGTACAATTACTACCAGAAGACTGCTCCTCCTAGATTATTTCTGTTGCTTGCTCTCTCGCGTTCTACCTGCCTTATCACGAAGTCAGTCTGCTAACTATGCACAGTATTTGAATTAGAAGCCAGTTTACGTGGTCAAAAAAGGCTATAAACATAAATAATCTCCTGTACCCATGCTACGAAGAGATATCCCTTAAGCTAGGCTCCTAGTTGTGCTATCATCTTTGCCTCCCAACTCACCGGCACCCCGCTCTCGATAAGCTACTCTACGTCAATATAACAATTCAACCAAACAGACATAGCTCCCGCAGATCCATGGAGTCGTTATCACAAACCAAAGCTGGCAACGGTGTAGCTGGCTCAGCAATGGATATAGAGCCCGTAGGGGAGCACCATGGTCGAAGTTCAATAACGCCTCGTATTGTTGTGGACGGTATGCACGCCCATGCTAGAAGAGGTGATTGAGTTGGTTGAGGACTATCTAACTAAGCTATGCAGAGCCACCCAAATTTGACCTCGAAACCTACATATCAAACTACACTGGTATGATGCTCTGTGGCTAAAAGTCTACGGTCTATACGCGAGACTAACTATTTCGACTGGTTTTTAACCTACTAGGAAGGACCAAATTCGCTAGGCTATACCTCATCGGAACATGTTCAAGTTTTCTTGCCGTTGAAGCATTAAAGATGGCGGTTGCTGAAGCAAAGTCAGGCATGGACGTTAGATGTTACGAAACTGCTGTTGAGGCGCTCAGCCAAGTTGCCCCGTCGGACAGCGAGGCTTTATTGGACACCGAATGGATCAACAATACTACTAAAGTTGTCAAGGCTGACACGAACAGGTTGGAACGTGAATTAAAGGGCTACAAGAACAACTTGATCAAGGAGAGCATACGAGTATGTCCGTTATTGATACTCGCACCCCATCCTCAGCGACATTATTGTCTTCCACTTCTGACATTATATAGATGGGAAACGAGGATCTTGGTATGCATTACCATCGCATAGGCGACCTGGCTTCCGCTTCTCATGCATTTTCAAGAATGCGAGACTACTGCACAACCACCTCCCATATTGCGTCGATGCTTTTTAAAACCATAGTTGTTGCCATTGATCGCGCGGATTGGCTGGCCCTCCAGGCGAATGTTCACCGATTACGCAGCCTCCAGTTTAAACCTGAAGATGAACCAAAGTGTAAAGCGAAGCTCTTTGCATCACATGGCTTAGCACAACTTGCAGCGTGTTCTTACCATGAAGCCGCAACGACCTTCCTATCAACCGACCCAGCCCTTGGTGATAATTATAAGGATGTGATCTCACCGAATGATGTGGCAGTCTATGGCGGGCTTTGTGCTCTAGCGTCTATGAACCGAACTGATCTCGCCAAAAACGTTCTCGAAAACAAGTCGTTTCGAAATTTTCTTGAATTAGAACCTCACATCCGTCAAGCCATATCATTCTTTTGTGCATCGAAATTCCGGCTTTGTTTGGATATCCTAGAAGCTTATGAATCAGACTACTTACTTGATTTGCACCTGCAAAGACATGTCCGGACATTGTACAGGCGCATCAGGACAAAGGCCATACAACAACATATCATACCTTACAGCCGTGTCACTCTTGATGGCATGGCCAAGGTGTTTGCACCTAAAGAACAAATCAGAGACGCACAGGGGCAACTCAAATCAAGCGGTGCATTTGTGTCTGAGTTGATTGGACTTATCCAGAGTGAAACTCTAGATGCTAGAATAGATTTAGAAAAGGGCGTGGTTGTTACTAGCAAACCACCTATGAGAGAGCAGCTACACGAAAAGGCGCTGGAGAGCATGCGAGAGTACCTGGAAAATTCGCACTTGCAAATACTGCGCATCAATGTGTTTAATGCCACGATGGAGGTCCCGGGAGCTTCTGTATTCGGTAGCAGAGCTGAAGCCGAGGCCATGGCAGCTCAAGGGGCAGCTTTTGATGACCAGGGACAACGCTTTAGTCGGAAGGGTCTTGCAGCGAAGCTAGGATCTGCATTCGGTGATAGTTAAAATATATGCAGTTAGTCTTAGATAGTTACAGCATATTTGCAAAAGGTATTACATCCCACCCCCAAAAGTATATTCTTCCTTTGAAACTGCCATGTCATCAAACCGTCTATATCTTTGCTTTCTCTGCAGGTCTGATCTTCACATCATCAAATGGCACACCCAAAAAGTCCCACATGAAATGGAACCTGTCACTTCCAAAGAATGGCTCCTCCCTCCCAGTTTCATCATTCCGGACCCAGAACCATGGTGCGCCAAATGCACCCCTATCTAATGCTTCCTGGGTCCTGTCCGTCAGCGCCTTTTTAATTTCATCTGTTTTCGCAGATGCCAGGATACGATCGATTTCCCGATTCGAGAAGTTGGCCTCCTTAAGCAGCTCGGTCATACCCTCCACTTTACTCAGATCGATATGTTTGAAAAACATATATTTCCAGTACAGCAAAAATGTATTTTCAAACCGTTCCTTGGGGTAATTTTGTTTGATGTATGTCGCGCATCGTTGGGGCTGTTCAGTACGCTGTTAACGAGCTTATAATGCACCACATAAGGCCTTAAGTGGGTAGTGACCGTACCAGAATGGTTAGAGGCGGAAAGAATGGCGGAACTTTGAAATCATCAACTTCGAAATATTTCCCTGCTCGCACTCGGTCGAACTGCCCGTAAGCTGCCTTGGCTGGGAGAGTCCATGGTGGTTTGTTGCCTACATAGCAAGTAGAAATTAGGACAACAATCTCAATGACAGGGTATAGTTTCATAATCATCTCTTCCATATTTCGTACCAGAGCCGACGTTTATTCCACCTAGGAATACAGGGTGAACACTATTGTCATATCAGTCCAGTGGCCTCAGCAGGATAAGGGTTAAGCTTACTCGATCTCAACTCCATGAGATGCTAGGACATCACGGTTTCTCCGGAGGTGAAGAAACGCATAATACGAATATGGAGAGGCTATTGATTGTCGTCAGCTATATAGTCAGGGAGCCTTTTCAAGTGAAGCAATGATAGAGGCAGGGTATGGCTTACGGCAGTCAAGGTATACCTCAATCTTGCCTCCCATTTTCACACGGGCTCACAGCGGTTGGGAGACTGTACATGTAACGAACAAGAACGACGGTATACACTTGTAAACGGCAGAGCTGTTACGTATATTTGATGTCTGAATGGTGAGTGTTGAAGGAGGTTGGTCGGCCGGTCTCAACAAGGCAACTAGTTAAACCGGCGTCTGGAGATGCCGAGGCTCGGCTTTCGGTGGCGGACGATCAGCAGCCGGCATTAAGCCTACCACATCGATAAAGACAAGTTAACGCTGAATAAGACATCATAAATATCTGCCCAGCGAGCTATTACGGTGCATCTTCTTCAATCGGAGTATTTGGAAGCTGATATCACATATATTCAATAATCATCTTCAACCAGCTACCATGGCAGGCTCTAAGCCCGTGGCTCTTGTTATCGGCGCTTCCAGGGGGATTGGAAGACAGGTTGCAATTGACTTAGCAAAAGAGGGATATGCCGGTTCGTCTCTATATTTTAATCAGAGTATTTTAATTACGAGGCTGACAATGTACACAGTTGTCGTTGCAGCCAAAACAACATCAGATGCCACCAAAACAGTGCCATTTCCACCGGACCCAAACTCGCCCCAATCCACGATCAACACAGTTGCTCGGGAGATAAATGAGTTGGGGGGTGAAGCAGTCGCACTACCAGTTGATACCCGAGATGTTGAGGCAGTCAAGGAACTAGTCAGAAAGACTGCGGAAGAGCTATATAGAAGGCTAGACGTCCTAGTCTATAACTCCGGTGCAATATGGTGGTCTTCTATTGAGAATACACCTGTAAAACGTTTTATGCTTATGCAACAAGTCAATCCTGAGGGCCTATATGCTAGTGTACATGCATCTCTCCCGTATTTTGAAAAGAATGGATGGAAAGGAAGGATCATAGTTGTCTCTCCGCCGATATATTCCCGTTTCTTCAGGGGGAAGACAGCCTATGCCATGGGTAAGTTACTCCCAACCGGATACTGTGCCTTTACGAGTTTATTCATTCAGGATTCTGCTTCTAGGTAAGGTTGGAATGAGTGTTCTGACAAAAGGCCTCGCCATGGATTTTGTTCGGCAAAAAAAGGATGGAATGGCAATTACAAGCATTTGGCCAGCGGCTGTAAGTATAATTAACTAGTTAACCGATTTCGTTTAAGCCCTAGTCTCTAATAACTAGAATGCATTTAGTCAATCGAATCTGCTGCAACACAGCAATCAACTAATATGGACCCTTCGTCCCTAAAAGATCTCCGAAAGCCGGTAAATACCCTTCACCCCTGATACTGCCATACCATCCAAAGGAAGATTCTATTCAGCCAGGCTAACACAGTGCTTTAGACAATATTTTCCGATGCGATCCTCGCCATATTGAAATCACCACCATCTGTCGTTAATGGCATTCTGGCATTAGATGAGGACTTTTTACGTGAACACGGCGGTGTCACTGATTTCACCTCGTATTCCGTTATTCCAGGTGCTAATCCGCGGCGCATCATGCCGAAAACCCTCCCCGTTCTAGAGGTCGAGGAACAAGATGATGAAGGGAAGCGGATGGATTCTACGATGTTAAGAGGCAAAGGTAAGACCAGCTCAAAGATATAAATATGCCTTAGCTTTCTGCGCATAGAGCTTGGGGAATTTCAAGACCAGGAACTGTGGAGACTGGAACACTTATATACTTTTCCATGAATGCCGTTATTCTTTTGTTGATTGTTCATGCATTGGTATGTACATCGTCTAGCTCTATACCTTCGCCATCCTCGACCTCGAAGCCCGCATAGTAAAAGGCCAATGTATGCCATACCTGATCACCTAAAAGACCTAGAAAACAAACTTGAGCAATTGAATACAGTTTTGACCGGAAAAAAGGAGGACATACATATCAGAAGGGCTAGAGCTACCGTAAATAGGATCATGGGATTTGTCATGTACCTATAGGCCAGGTCGAAATTTGTTACCAAGGCTATAATGCTTAGCAACGAAAATCCCGCCAGCACTCGGGTGCCCGTGGCACATAGTCGAAACACTCTTCTTGTGGGGTCGTGGTGGACTAAGAAGGTGAATGCCGCAAACATAAACATGGCAAGAGCGGCGACGACGAAATAGTACAAGAAGACAAAGCCAAGCATCCTAAGATACATTGCTAATAGATGGTCACTTCTCGTTGCCTTCGTGTGGCCTTCTGGCGGAGTTATTCCCATGCTGGAGAAGAGAGCCACGGTAACGTTTCCCATTATATCATGGGACCTCTCGATATCGAGAGAACCGGTCTCCGTTTCTGAAGGGCAGAGACGAGGCTGGCGCCTAAGGTCCCACAAGACGCCCTGAATTGCATATTTTTCGACCAATGCCCCATATGTGAAATCGATTCCCATGTCTGCAATTGTGCTGTTAAGTGAATCAATCGCATCTGAGATACTAGGCCTTGTAACACTGCAAGCAGACAAGATGGTGTCACGCAATTGTTTGAGTTTTAGAGACACATCCAAAGTAAGCGCCAGGATCTGCATTCCTTCAGACAAAAGGATCAGGATTGCATGAAACGGGAAATGCAAGCACGTCCATATTTTCTGTCGAAGTTTCCCTAACTTTTCTGTGGGCGTGATATCGAAATAAGACTGCCATAAAAGGTACTATGTATTATCTATTAGCTCCTTGAGCCAATTGTGGGCTTTGATATGGATCAGGGCACATACCACGGAGATTGTGACCCCAAATATATGGACAAAAGACCAGCGTGTCCAGCCGTTGCCCACGGTCCTGTTAACAATCCTAGTAACTGATATAATGCCATCTCCAATGATGATAAGTGTGAGGAGACCCATCCGGACATTAAGGTGCGTGTCCTCAAAACCAATGCCTGGCAATTGGTCCGCTTTTACCATCACTACGAATGTTTCAGCAGCAAACTGAAACCACCATAAAGTCCAGATGTACGAGCCAATGGAGGCCGCCTGGTCATTGAAGAGGAAATACAGCTGCAAGTTCATGTTAGGGTCCGGGTGGTGTAGTGTGGGTGATTTGGGAGGCTTACCGCAATGTATATCAGGCCGTTAACAAACATAAACAAAGTGACACAGCGTAAATTAAACGCCATGTTGGGAGGTAAGTATACGGAGGCAATGAAATACTCCAGTGACAACATCAAGCGGCTTATGGCAAGGAGTATGGTTAGGGAATGGAATATCCACAAATTCTCTGGTAGAACTTGCATCGCGAAACCAGAGCCAGCAGAAGCAAACCCTACCATGGTTGCTAGTTGTACCGCTTTGCATATTCGTTCGAACACGGAGTCTCTAGCAAACCGAATATCGAATAGAGTGACCTGAAGCCAGGTAAACCAAATTATCCCCAGAAAACAGACATAGGACCACAGTGCTATACCATTTGTTAGTTATTTAACTGCTAACATACAGTTAAGATGGTAGCCACAAGCGCACACCTTCCAGTGAGTTTATGTCATTTGAAGCGGTAAACGTTGAGAGGTTTGCCACAAAAAAGAGATCAAAGAATAGCTCTATTGGTGTGGCATCCGCTTGTTTGTATAAGCGCGGAGGGGTATCACTCTTATCAAGAGGGGATTCAATCCAGGGTATACGATAAAGCGTATATCTATAACGGTAATTTATTAACTCCAGGTCTTATGCAGTGCGTATGTACAAGTCATACCTGTCGAATTTGAATCGTCTTCTTCCAGGACGCGAATGCTTGAATGAAAGGAATAACCGGTGTGCCATATTCCCTTCATCATACACTATATCTCTTCGTATGACACAGTGTTGCAGTCTTGAGATCTTGAAATTCAAGAGAGGAAAGACTCTTGCATGCGAAGTTGACCCGGCAATAATGTAGTTTCCTTTCCACTAGAAGCTTGAAGTATAGGAAATCGTGACGGTTAACCACGTTTGGTGCTCCTACTTCGTTCATGAAAATAGTTAATTTTCCCTATTTCCAGTCATCTTCAGTCGTCTTCAATCGTCTTCGTTCATTTCAGCATCTGGCGCTGGTAGTGACAGGGCGCCGAGGTTATCAAGTCCACGGTCAGCTCCAGCCTCAGTTCCCGTGATAAGTTTCTCTGTAGTGGCAGTCTGCCCGGCCTCTACCCGGAGCCTCTCATACTTCTCACCCGCTTCTTTCAGGAGATTTTGAATCTCAGTTTCTCTCTCAGATATCTCAACCTTTTCCTTGCGAAGTTCCTCCAAACGATTGACAAGCTGCGCTTTATTGTTTTCCATTTCCACCACGCTCATTCGCAAGCCAGCCAATTTCGATGCAAGAGTTGGTAGAGATGTTATTTTTGGTGGTGTCTTTGAGCGCGGTACAGATTCATCGGTGTCCCTCTTCAAACCATCCATTCCGGCACGAGTTTGCGCAGACTCGTATGCAGCCCGGCGTTCGGTTTCAGAGTCATCTTCGTCCGAGAGATCTTCAGCATCGTTTATGAGCTCTTTCATATTTGCACGTTGCCGCTTCTTTTGCTCGATCTCTGCCCTTTTGCCCATCGCTATCCGGCCATCCTCGACATACTCATCAAAACCCTCCGCAAAGTCCTCATCATCTCGGACTAGCCTTGTTTCAGTTTCAAGTGGTTTCTTTGACAGTGACCACTCGTCTTCGTCATCCTCTACACCAGTATCATTCAGAGATATGTACTCTTGTTCCTTAGCCAGGCGGCTGCGACGTGCCTTTTTCTCTCGGATTTCGGCTTCACTAGGAATAGCGGAGGGCCTGGTGTATTGCGCCACTTCTCCAAATTTGCCGGCTATATCCAAGGCCTTGTCTTTTTCGTCTTCGGTGTCTGGACGAGACACATTCTTTGGTGTGGATGGAGTAGAGTTCCGTAATTCCTGGAGATAGTCTTTGCTATAGCTTGGGCGGTCATCATCTCGGCCAACTCGGACTGGAAGAGTCTCTGATGAACCCAAGGGCTTTCGGTTTGATGCTTTGTCCAAAACATTGCGTCTTATCCCCGTCTTCTTTGGAATGACAACCTCTCCTTCGTCCGAAACATCGTCAGTCATGGAAGTTCCACCGACTCCAAAAGAAAGGTTTAATTTTGATTTCCTCTTTGATTTCAAAGCCGGTTTCCGAACAACAGGCTCTACTTGTATAAGTTAGTCTATCTGTATGAATATCTATAGCTGGATGTACAGAGCTCACCTTGCTCAACGGCGCCATCCGTGTCTTCATCGTCCACACCAACCCGCCGCGCCTTGCGCCTACTTGCAAACGAAGAGCTCATTCTAGGGAAAAGGAAAGTAGTAGAAGCCCCTTCAGCTTCCAACGTGTCCACCCCACTAGCGAGTATTCATTGTATGAAAAGTCCAAAGGCCAAAGTCCTACTTCAAGTGTTGGAGCTTCAAGAAATCATATCACGGGACCAGGTTATTCCGGCCCCGAACTGCTTATCGCGTTTGCACCAGAAAACATTCAACCTTCAATTATCCAGACGAGAGAAGAGCTCTATAGCTAGTCGACCAAGCATAGATCTCAGTCAAGATGCCTCAAGCTCAGCCAGAATTGAAAAAGGTGCGTTTCTGGGTGTGGTGCTCCGCTGCATACGTTGCTAACTTCTGCTTTGTGTAATAGTACATGGAGAAGCGGTTGTTTGTCCAACTGAATGGCAATCGCAAAGTTATCGGAGTACTTCGAGGTTACGATGTACGACACTATGAATACCCTATATCTTGTCGCGGGTGGAATACATAACTAATGCCGGAATAGGTCTTTATGAATATTGTCTTGGATGATGCTGTAGAAGAGAAGAATGGAGGCGAAAAGGTCCCACTAGGCATGGTGGTAAGAAAAAACATAGAATGACATGAGGGTGATGATGGAAGCTAAGGTTGATTCACCTATAGGTTATCCGTGGAAACTCAGTGGTTATGCTAGAGGTTTGTATCCCCCTGGGAAGTGGAATCTACATACTGGGATATGCTGACATTTCATTTACTTACTAGGCCCTCGAACGTATCAGTGATCGGTGATAGACTTCTCCCCAACGCTGGACCGCGTTCTGCTCATTTTAATCTTCCCGGAGTATTCATTCGGATTGGGTGGGATAATACTTCAGACTTAATCGGCCATTTTATCCGTTCCGCAGATGCTTCGAATCGTCGTTTATAATATAACGGAGTTTTATGCCAGGCGGCTCAAATATCATGCTTTGAAATGGAAATGATATGCAAAAATGGGACAATATGGGATAGCTTGTTTTTAAAAACAAAAGGATTCTTGATTACTAGTATAAGTGTGACGCTGCTTTAAATTATAAAATGCGGAAAAAAACAGATCCTCCCATGAAATCAAACTCCGCGCCATTGATGTTATCATTTTGTTGCTTTAATAAAAAGGTGAAAAATGAACAGAAACGGGGAAATAAAAACCAGCCTTATACCCCCTTTGCACCTTTTTTTTTCATGACCTATCCGAGTGTTAAACCAGCCCGCTGCACGGATTCCGAGCGCCGCCAAAGATAAAATGATCAGTGCGAAAAAAAACCAATATAAGACAAATAATAATTATAACACGCGCGAAAGCCCTTGGTAATATTTATTGACCGGGAGAAAAGCTTGAGCTCTTAGTTTTGAGCTTCAACTTGATCTTCGGCTTGATGGCAGAAGCCGGGGTAGGTGGTTGTGGTGATGGAGAGCATAAGGTGCCTAGTTTAGGAACCTTGAGTGTAAGCCTATGACTGAGAGGTGGAGCGGCGCCATTGGTATCTTGTTCACGCTTCCTCTTGACAGTAGGAGCGGGTACAGGTGCGGTAGTGGCTTTTGATGTAGTTGGGGGTGCGGTAGTGGCGCTGCCTATAGGACGGGTGCGGAAGCGGTTGGATTTTGAGAATTTCATTTTGCCCTGGAGAGATGTTCATGTTAGCAAAGCTCGACAAAGCGTAAGTCCAGGAAGCAATAGTTATACTTACATTTCCTAGATGCTGCGTTTTCCAGTACCGAGGATACTTCAGGCGGACCATTGCTTGTTCAACGGGGTGGTACAAGGCACCGACAGCAGACGACTGTTCCTTAGCTCTACGAGACTCGCTCGCGGTGAGTTACACGCTGCCCATAATGCCTCCTTTAAAGTTTTATTTGAGCCAAGCTCTTGTTTCAATGCATCTAAAGCTCCAGGAACTGTTTGCCTTCTAGCAAGCTGGACCTGTCGAGCTTCGGTTGAGGATTCTTGTTCAATGACAAGCGAGCTACCTGCGAAAGTGCCAGAAGCCTCAGATTCTGTGCCAAATGCGATGGTTGCGAGTGCTTCTCCGAACATACGGTAAAGGTTCCGTCGAATCCAGGGTGAAGAGTCCGCAGACATGTTGTATATGTACCAGGTTATGAGCTCTGGATGCTCAAACAGCTTAAACTCCAGCAGAATTTCAAACGCCTTGAGTCTCAATTCTTCCAAAATCCCGGCACGCGTGTATTGAACGAACTGGACAAGGTCGACTTCAAGCATTCTAGCTTTCATAAGCCGTTTCTGGCATTCGAGAGACGTCCTTGAGAAGATATTTCTGAATGAACCAGCCCATTCATCAATTCGTCGATATCTATCAATCTCAGCAATGCAGTCCTTATCGAGCTGTTCCTCTGCTTGGCGTTCGATTTCTTTGTTAATATCGAAATCACCATCATTGGAAATGTTTTCTTTTCTGCCGAGTAAAGCATTGCAGATGGATTTGAGCAAAGTAGAGATGTAGAAGCAATCGGAAAACTAATAATTGTAAGCGACACCACACAATGTAAACAGCGGCAGGGTGTTGTGAGTAGAGCATACCTCGTTGTTAGAGTTATCGTTAAATTTTAGTTTTTCATAGAGGAATTGTTTTACTCTCATTGGAGTCCTACCATCCTCATCTCGTACTTCTGAAATTGCTTCGATAAGCGCTAGTTGCACTGCGTATGATGACCGGTCTGAGAAATCATTTGATCGTGCCATAGACGAATTTGGGAGACAGTATAATTCCTTAAAAGCATTTTCCAGGTGAAAGAGGCCGATCCAGTCGACTTCCTGTTTAGCATGTTTGACTAGTGCCTTAGTAGCAGCTGTCCGAATTCCATGGAAATATCGACGATCTAGAATTGTCCGGACAAAGATACTTGATATCAGGGCGTGTTCTCGTTGTGCGGCCATATGTTGTATAGACTAGAAACTATTAGACTCATGCACAGAGTGAATAGAAGTGGGAGCGGAAACCGGCTTACCTCAAGCTGTGCAACAACATCGCGATCTTGTTGCAGCTGGGACAAATACATATAGCCCGGCATACCCAGGGACATTTTACATATCCATTCAAAGTCAGCATCCATCCTTATCCATTCGTAAGATTCCTGTCCCATGCGGCTCTCGTCTTCTTTTGTCCACTCGACAATTTTCCACTTCTCCATGTCTTCATCTGATTGAAGGACGTCTCCCAGGCAATAAAGCAGGACATCATCTTGAGTTTCACTGCTGGGGTCGATACCGGACATTGCCGCGGCCCGTTCTTTTTGTCGTCTATTCCGCTTCAGACGTTTATATTTGGTATTGTAAGGTATATCGAACTTCGTGATGGCTTCCTTGATTTCAACTATATGCTCATAAGGCGTTCCGTCTGCTTCGTGAATTTGAATAGTCATTGAACCGGTAAACACATTCTGTACGGTACCAGCGTAGACATTGCGTATCTCTTCCTTGACATCTCTCATGAAAGTGGATCGTTCGAGGTCACGCGCGGTTGTCTGTTCAACCTGGACCTGAGAAATCATCATCTCAACTACAAGCTTCTTCTTGTTAAACCTTTGGCTGGCGGTGAATCGCGGGCAGCCTGCACCGTAAACCCACTGGTTGAAAAAGGCATCTAACTTAGTATGACCCATGCGCTCACAGAGTTTTTGGAAATGCGCCGAGGTGAGTTCGCAGTTTGGGAGGTCACCCATTCGTGCATTCAAGAAGATGCGAGAAATGATGCGAGAGACTGTAGCTTTGCCGCTCGCCTTGGACAATCGGCGTTCAAGAATGTACAGGACAAGCGGTGCTTTTAAAGAGATAAACTCCATCTCTGAAGGATCAATTTTGAGGATAGCTCCCATATCCCAGAGAGACGGGCGCAAAACATCCAGGTCACATACTCGATCTGCTAGCAGTTTCTGCCGGTACCGGTATTCATTGTTTCCCCCGATCTTTTTCATAAAAGTGTCCGTTATGTAGTAGGAGATACCTGTAATCACCCATGTGTCTGTGGGATCTTTTGGGATGATGTTTATTCCAACCCATTGATATGCTAATGAATGGACTATGTATCTTGTTGAATCATACATCATGTCAATGATGTTCTCTGGGAAGAGTATTCGATCACTGCATAAGGTGAAGCCAGCTGCGGGTAATGTGTCCGCCCGGAGGTCGTCAACAAAGCATAGTTTGAAACTGGCAAAAGGGTATGAACCGTAAGTCAAGGAAATAAAGTCAACGGCTTTGGCCATCGGCAAACATGTGTTTCTCACTTCATCTGCCCTTCCAGGGAGGCAGAAGGCATGCACAGGAACGGCATTGGTGCCAAGTTGATCGTCTTCATCACTTTCACGGAATTGGGACAGGTTGACATATTCAAAAGGTCCAAGTGCAAATCCAATCTGCGGAGCTGATAGTGGCGTGTTACAGGAAAATGATACGGTCTTTTTAGTTTGGTCCTTGGGGTCGAGTATATCATCTGTCAAATCTCCGGAACATGCAACCACTATATCCAACGCCGCATCTTCAGCAGAAAGTCCAGTCTTCCTTGGGCTATTTGTTCGGTTGCTAGTTCCATTAGCGAGGCCACTATCAGATGATTTGGAGAATACATCGCCAAGAGTCCGTGGGCATCTAATCGAGATATCCCATGTGCATCGGGAAGACATATCATCCACACATGGAAACAAGCAACAGAACTCTCCGGTATCCGATGAATTGGTGGTAAACGCATGGGGATATCGCAAATCACGGCTGTCGAGGCCAACAAACTGTATTCCATCCTTTGGCTTCTCAATTGTGAATTCGATGAGTATCGTTATTGCCGTAAACCTTGGAAGAGAAGCTTCGGCGGCACGGCTGCTATCCACTGGATCATCCACGCCACCAGTACCGTTCGCACCGTTCGAAGTAGCCCGTAATGAAAGCTGTGTCTGCGCTTCAATGGAAAAGGGGTCTAGCTCCTCTATGCGCACAGATTTCGGAAGTGTGATCACCAGCTCTGGCTCGGGGGGCGTTTTCGACAGAGCATCAAGCTTCGTGGAGAGCTTACGGTGGTATTGGACACCATATAGCGGGAGTGCCTCGTACGGGTCGACGTACTTCGAGGTAGCTGTCCTTCCGCCCACTGTAATGCGCTTCAACTGCCCCTGCCGGAAATTCAACCGGACAAGCTTCAGGTCCTTATAATCCGGGTGTATGGTGATTTCTGTTTTCCCCTTGATACTCCGGCTCGTAAAGTCGATATCAAGCTCGACCTTCTGATGGCTGACTGAGTAGCCAAGCCCTGAGGGCGGCGGAGCTCCTTGCATGTCGACCAGGCCGGGCATCGTTCGTATCAGCCACGCACGCCAGGTATCAGAAGAGTTAGTTCTCCTATCGGTCGTTATATAACGGCAGGATCATGTCGCGAAGGGAAAACGGCTGTAAACGGAGCGGTATTTGCTGTTTGGTAGCGAGTCTGCCCAACCGGGTGAGCAAGTCCAGCATTAGCATTGGTGGTGAACGGAGGGCGACCTGCGAGTGCGCGAACTAGGGGCAGTTAATATACCCGGCATACCAAGCTAGCGCAGGGCCCCATTATCGACAATAGAAAAAACAGGAGAACACTCTGGTATTGTCGAGCTGGTGAAGCTCCTTATTCACCTCGCTGCCTTCAATATAAAAAATCGACTCTGAACTTCGAGCTTCGCGATCGAAATGCGCAGAAACACGCTAGTCCTAGAGCGGTTAGCATACAACACACGGCACGTGAGTATCACATGCGACGTGTTCATCACGTGATATGGTTTTTTTGCTCTCCTTTTTTTTTCTTTTTGGTTTTTTTCCGTTTTTCGGTTTTTTACCCCACGAAATCTTGAACTTCAACCGTTGAGCTTCGGGTTGAAGACGACGAAGACGACAAGACTGAGCGGTACAAACGGGCTGGTGATCGGGCTGAGAGTCAGCATGTTTTGAGGATCAGTCTGTGCCATCTCTGTTGTTTCTATCTAAAAATGGATGTTGTCAGGAAATATGCCGGTACGTTGATGCACCGCCGTTGGGCGTTTCATTGTTGGTGGTGGGAATATACCGTATTGTTAACGTGCGCACACGACAGGATTGGAGGATTCCTTGACGGATGAGACCCTGGCTCCATTGAGGACTTACAAATATTCGAGTGTCGATAAGTCATATATCTCTCGGTATATACTCAAACACTATGTATTGTCGCTCTCTGCCCTTTTCAACGCTTTTCTTTTTACCTCCAAAGGGGATGGATGGATGGATCATCTCCCCGTATGCCATGTATATAAACCCCGGACTAATCGAGTTCTATTTTCATTATTTCTAGTGGAATGCCTTTGTCGAACTCTTGCCACTATGGATTGCTCCCAACATGGTCACCCTGCTTGGGTTCGGATTCATTGTTGGGAATGTAGTGCTGCTGGAGATTTACATGCCTAATCTCGTAGGACCGGTGTGTACTGAGATCAACCCTCCCATCAAAAGTGATCACTGAGTCCCGTAGCGTGCATTAAATTTGCTAAGAACGTCCTACGGTATTAGGCTCCATCATGGGTATACTATAGCTTTGCTATAGGCATCTGGATGTAAGACTTTCTCCTAGATGCGGGTGCTATATCATACCCATAGGTTTTGTTAATAGCTTACTGACGGGTTCTACCAGGTACTCTACCATGGATAATGTCGATGGCAAACAGGCTAGACGCACCGGCACGTCAAGTCCTCTTGGAGAATTATTTGAGTAAGGCTATGAGGAATACCCATCATTTGTTCTCGTGTCTGGAGAGCTAATATACCATTCACCTTGGAACAGCCATGGGATTGATTCTTTAAATTGCACGCTAGCAAGTTTACTTGAAGTAGCAGCCATGGGTCAAGGATCGACCAAAATCGGGGCCTTCACTATGCTGATTCCATGTCTACCTATGTTCTTCTCGACCTGGGAGACGTATCATACCCACACCCTATACCTGGGCTACTTCAATGGTCCCACAGAGGGCCTGATCATTGCCACCTCAATCATAATAGCCGCCGGTTATTACGGACCCGAGATTTACTCTCGTCCTTTGGCCGACGGTATCGGATACAAGGATTTGCTCGGAAACATCACCTTTCTTGACATTTGGGTCTTTGTCCTCCTCACGTCTTTCTTCACCGCCCACTTGCCCGAGTGTGTCTATAATGTGGTCCAGGCACGAAGACGCAGTGGGTTGCCGGTATTGCCCATCTTCCTTGAATGGACTTCCATCATCGTATCAAGTATCTCGGCTATATCGTGGGTCTATTCTCCTTATTCCTTCATCCTGAAAGACAACCACCTCGTCTTGTTCGCCGTCACCCTATGCTTTGTCTTTGGGCGAATGACCACCAAAATCATCCTCGCCCACCTTACCAGGCAGCCATTCCCTTACTGGACTGTCCTAATCACCCCTCTTATCGGCGGTGCGGTCCTCGTCAACCTCCCTGCCATCGGCTTACCATCCGTTGGGGCTACTGTGGAGCTATGGTATCTTTGGGGCTACCTCGCCTTTGCCTTTGCCGCATACATGCACTGGGCCCTATACGTTATTGGCCGTATCACAACGTTCCTGGATATCAACTGCCTGACGATAAAGAAACGACATTCATCCTCGAATGGCCCTGTCCTCGGTGTTATTACAAACAGCAAAATGCAAGCAGGGTTCAACAAACCGGTCAAGTTGAACTAGGTTCCCAGGAAAGCCCACGATTGATTTACACTTTATAATACATGATCAGACGTTCTTTTATATAATAGAAAGCATACTATGGTTGTGACTGTTTGATAGCTTCAATGTGCTTTTTGTACAAAGATAGAGAAGCTTTGAGCGCAGAGTCGACATCAGGGTTATATCAACTATCCGTGATGTCAATTAACCCTTTTTCAACAAAGATAGACTATCTTCTATGACTCCATTCCTTGGAGGCGTAGGTATTAGCACCATGGTCATTGTAATTTGTAGAACACGTCATATTTTATGTGAGTTCGTTTCATCAATTCTAAATATATCATCTAGTGGCCTGACCACATAGCCGTATCTGCCACGTACATTACATACTATTTGGTAGCCCAAGCCCGAGGTAAGGCTGTCTGGGCACAACCAAATATCCGCCAGCCGAAGCATGCGGGGAGATCAATGGCCGACAAATCAGCTCAACAGTACATATATAACTCAACTGTGACTCGAATAAGTGTCTAATAACCAATTCACCCGTTTAACTAGTTACTGTATACCACTCCCATCATAAAGGTAACAATGGTCAAGCTTCCTGAGACATTTGCCGCGATTCCACGCGAGGAGTTTCTCCTTGGCCCATCGCCGATCCATCTTCTTCCCCGAACGACAGCAGATCTCGGTGGCCAGGTCAAAATATATGCCAAACGAGACGATGTCAGTTCTGGTTTAGCGTACGGCGGCAACAAGACGCGCAAACTCGAGTACCTGGCGGCCGACGCTGTTAAACAGGGATGCGATACCCTCGTTAGCATCGGCGGCATACAGAGCAACCATACCCGCCAAGTAGCTGCAGTTGCCGCTCGCATGGGCTTGAAATGCGGCCTGGTACAAGAGAAATGGGTCGAATGGTCTGACCCTGGCTACGAGAAGGTTGGCAACATCCAGCTTTCTTACCTGATGGGTGCCGACGTGCGGATCGAGAAGATGACTTCCTTCGGCATCGAGCACAAGGATACCCTGAAATCATTGATGAAAGAATATGAAGCCAAGGGTCAGAAACCCTACTACATCCCCGCTGGAGCATCTGATCATCCGTTCGGAGGCGTGGGTTTTGCTCGCTGGGCCTTCGAGGTGCGCGAGCAGGAAAAGGAGCAAGGCATCACTTTCGACTATATATTCGTGTGCGCAGTGACGGGTTCCACGATGGCAGGCATAGTTGCGGGCTTCAAACTGATCGAGAAGCTTTATCCTGACGAGCCCAAGAAGAAAATCATTGGAATTGACGGATCTGCGACTCCGGAAAAGACCCGAGCCCAGGTTTTGAGGATTGCCAGGGGTACCGCTGAGAAGATTGGGTTAAAGGCGGACGACATCACGGAAGCAGATATAGTGCTTGATGAAAGATTCCATGCAGGAACGTACGGCGTCCCCGACAAGCAGACTTGGGAGGCGATCGAGTATGGAGCAAAGATGGATGCATTCATTACCGATCCGGTCTATGAAGGGAAGAGCCTTGCTGGGCTGCTGGGATATGTGAGGAATGGCGAGATCAAGACTGGGAATATCCTGTATGCCCATCTCGGTGGGCAACTGGCTCTCAATGCCTATTCTCAACTGGGCCACGTTGAATGAATCAGGTCTTGTATGGTGTAGATGCAGCAACATGAATGTATTATTCCATGCCTCTACTGTGTACCTATGTCCCTTGTAACCAAGCCTGTAGCCCCTTGTTCAATTTTGTGTGTCTTGCAGCGCCTTGCCTGCAATCAATCAAGGATATAGAAAAGTGGAAGTGCCATGCCTGTTTCTCCTTGGAAGAAGCTAGAGTTGGTAAAAGTCCCTCGCTTGTTTGATCATATGGACATTCAAAGCGATTCAACTTCTATACCCTACGAAGTACTCATACACTATGAAACACATGCTTTGAACCGTTATGCCTCGTAATGAACCAGATCCCCAAGGCAAGCGTAAGAGTATTGTTTGCTTATATAAGCTTAAATTAACATTTACCACGTGACAGATGAGGCTCCAACCTTATTTTGCAGCGTTATTACATAATCAATACATTATCGATAAGAAGATAAGAGATTCTTTTGCTTGCGAGCCTTTCTTGCCTTCGACGTTACTTTTCGACTCTACATACTTCCTGGCCTTATGTTGCCTCCCTGTTTCCCATCCAGCATCTTGCAAGGAAGAGAAGATTTGAGATGCGTGGGGGCTGTCTTGTCGCGCATAATCAAGGATGGACAAACTCTCAGAGAAGCGGCGACAAGACGATGGCGATGAGGAAGACGACTACATGTCCATGGCCTTTCTAGAGGAGCCGCAAACTAAAAAGGAGACACTAACACAGAAGAAGCTCCGAAAGCAGCGAGAGGTATGTTCTCAGTGGATATGTCACAAGCATTGTCAACTACAAGACAAGGCGGGGATGCTAACTTGTTTGGGTCTGATTGAGTATAGGCAGAAGCACGGGCACGGGTTCCTTCAAAAGCCGAACTGGCGGCCGCAGAAGCTGCACGACGTGACGCCGCGCTCTCAACAAGTACAATTGATGCTTCCAACAAAGGGTTTAAGATGATGGCGAAACTGGGCTATAAACCCGGCAGCGCACTTGGCAGGCAGGCTCCAAGCGGATCCGAACGTGACGAGCCGGATCAACGGCTAAGGGAACCTCTGTGGGTATCGGCAAAGGAGGATCGAGGCGGAATAGGGCTCGACTCGGAGAAGAAGCGGAAATTGCGCGAGGAGCTAGAAGGGGAAACCAAACGAGTCAAGGCGGTTGAGAGTGATTTCGTGGAACGCGTGAGAGCCGAGAGGGAAGAGAAGAGGCAGGAGGGACAGTTCTATGCCGCCCAGAAGGTTATTGAGCGTCTGGACAGCGAGCACGAGGAAGACAGGGTCTGTGAAACAAACGGACAAGGCGGGGTAGAAGGCGGAAAGCAGGAGGGCAACAGAGACACGCCGGTTTCTAAAGACCGGCCCAAGGCTCGGGTCAATATCCTCTACCGCGGGCTGGTGAGGGACCGAGAGGCAGCACTACAGGAGAAACAGGCTGCGCGTCGTCGATATGAGTCTCTGTCTTCGCGGGACCATTCCCAGATATATTCTGAGAAAGACCCGAAGTTACCATCGATGGCTGACGACGAGCTGGAAGTCAACGATAAACTGGCTCTGGGCCGTACGGCTGAAGGCGAGATAGTGGAAGTGGAAGCAGACGAGGAGGAAGACGAAGAACTGGAGGCGTTCAATGCCCTCAGCGTCCAGGAACGGTTGTCCCGTGCCGTGGCGTATCTACGGAATCAGTATAACTACTGCTTCTGGTGCAAGTATCGGTATGAATCTGCGGACATGGAGGGCTGTCCGGGCCTGACAGAAGAAGACCACGATTGAGCTAGCCCTGTCGACGTCATGGCTGAGGATGGCGTACTCCGTACAACCTCACGATCATCCAGATACTTTTCACGGCTATCACCAAGCAGTGTGTTATGTTTATACTGCAAGTAAAGTATGTCACCGACAAGATCCCTCTTCCCCGAGAGATCAGTACAGGCCTCGCTTGCACGGACAGTATAAATAGAGCCACTCCACTGAATTGAGGAATGGGATGGAAATGTCAGGCCGAGTTATCCATCTAATGCATGCATGCATGGGTGTCGTGGGTCTGTCTGTCCTATTATCCACTGCCATGCTATCATGGCGCATGTACTCCATATGCATGTTTTGTATGTCGTGGGACATCCAGACAGACACATCTCCATCTCCATACGCCATATCCAAGAATACATACAGAGACATTTCTACCTGCATGCATGTTACTGTGCCACAAGTATCTCCGACAAGACCTCGACTCCGCAAGATCGCTCGGTCCTTTCCCTTTAACAGAGAGAGTGAAAGGCAAAAGGCTTTCTGGAACCCATCCGGCCGAGCGAAAGAACTAAGTATATACATATGTAAGAGGCATGAATGATAATCGGGGCATATTAAGCGTAACCAAGTGAGCTCCACCGTCGTGTCACATCTGAAGCATCCCGTAAGCTTTTATATTACATCTACAGACGAAACCTGGAACATTGACACCGTCCGCCACAAACAGCGGGGAGGGGAGAGAAATGGAAGAGAAGTGAAACGATAAGGAGAACTATATAGCTGGCTAACTAGACTGTATCCTAGTAATATGTCACGGTAAGTAGAGAAGTAGATAAGAAAACAGGTAAATAAGGAGGTATATGCAGAAGAGAAGAAAGATTATGGTCATTAAGAGAGAAAGAAACGGGAAGAGAAGAGATGAAATGAAGGAGGAAAAAATGAAGAAATAGCAAACACCGTCATGTAGTTAAAATAAATTGAATCAAACAAGGCCCCCTTGCAACGTGAAATTTCCATCAAGTAAAAGAAAAACGAAGAACGAATCAAGTCGAAGCGGTAAAGCTGAAACATAAGAAAGGCATGGTATCGTATGTTCAAGAAGGCAAGGCAAGAGAAGGCAGGAATAGCTAAAAAAAAAAAGCCGAAATATGAACGATAAGGAAACTGTTTAAACCTGCGGATTCTCTGTACTTTCCTGTCCCGCGCTACATCCAGGAACATGTTCAGGTTCAGGCGCATGCTCAGGCTCAGGGACAGACGTATCAGTAGCCGAGATCTCCCCCTCCTGCTTTTCTTCAGTAGGAGTCGAGCCAGCGGCTTCGAGATCCATGACCAGCTTCTCCATGAACTCGATCAGCGATCTGTCCTTGCACGCCTTGATGCCGCCCAGACAATCGCCGCAGATACGCAGACAGCAGAAGACGCATCGCCAGCGTAGTTCCTGATCGGCCTTGAGACAGGTCATGCATGTAAGCGGGTACAGCACGTTCGGGCTTCTGACGAACGTCTTGTGGAAATGGTAGCATGAGAAATGCGAGTTGGTCAGTGGCGGCGTATGGTACTCTACTTTCTGGTTCTTGGGAGCGCTGGACGAAGACGAGGAGGCGGTGGAGTGGTTGGATGTAGAGCCGTTGCTTTTTGGTCTAGAAGTGGCTGTGGGAGGATGGTCTAGTTCTGATGCAGAGACGGGGGTGCGAGAGAGAGGCGAGCTGGAGGTGGAGGAGGGCTCGCGCTGGTTGGGATCTGAGTACTGCGATCCGGCGGAGGAGTAGCTTATGGGTCTGGGCCGTGGAGGAGAGGCGCCGGGAGAAGAAGAGGCGGAAGATGGTTTGCTTGGTTGGCCGTGGCCGTGGCCGTGGTGCTGGGGGCGAGGACGGTAGTATCGTTGTGTGGGCATGCCGGGGGGAGTAGGCAGCAGTTTCTCGCGGCTGCGGATTCGGGCAATGGGCATTCCTGGACCTAGACCTGGTGCTGGTGCTGACGGGTCATGGTGATGGCGGTCTCCTCTGGGGCTGCGGCTGCGAGGGCTGTCGGAGGGCCGTAGGAGGTCATGTCGGCGGCCGTGGGCGTCTGCAGGCCGCAATTGGCGATGCTGGTGGTGCGGATGAAGCTGCTGAGGCTGCGGCTGCTGCGGGAGCGAGGACGGGAAGCGCAGCTTGGTGAACTGGCGGGTATCAAGTTGAGTCGATGTATGCTCAGCCGGGAGCTGCACCGTCAGTACAGACACTTCAGACGCCATCTATTCTGATATTCAGATATGTATGATTGTCTGATATTGTTCGAGGATGCTTTTTGAGAAGTAAATTTCCGCTCTCCCTGGACGAATTTGTAGACGCAAGTCGAGTCAGGTCGAGTCAAGGCCGAGCAAAGGCCGGGAAGTACACCCAGCAGGCTTCTTTCTGTGCGATGGCCGGCCGTTCCACACGCCAGTCCTGCTCTTGGGATCAGCAAATTAAACACTGTGAGAGGGACGGATGATGGTATGTATGTGTGTATGTAAATTAAGAAAGGGGCCGCCCCAGGTAGTGTCATGTATGGCCAGGTAGAGAGCGAAGGGCGAAGATACTCACATATATACATGGGCCAGCCATGGAAGGTTATAGTTAAACTTGTGCGGTTGATACCCAAAAGACAAGACCAAACCCGCCAAAGCAAGATGAAAAGAAAAAAAAAAAGAACAGAAAGAGAAAAAGAAAAGAAGAGAGATTGAATTTGTCTAGCGGTGAATTGCGGAACGATGGGAAAGGCAATGGGAGGTTTAACGTTCTCTCCTTTGCGCCATCGAGGCTTTACCAGTTGGCGATTATGCGGATGCGATTGAGCCTGCGGAGTCCGGGATGCGCACTGGAGCCAATAATTGACGACGCGGAAGGGATGGGCTCTTCTGTCTGAAGTCACAGTCCCTCGAGTCCCCTGGTTTGGTCCCTTTTAATAATAGTAATAGTAATAATAATGACATGTTATTATTACGGACATGAAGGGCGGTCCCTCCCAGGAGTCACTCGCTTGCCGCACCGTATCCACCGCACTCCCTACTGTAACTCCTAACTTCCGACTCCCTTGCCACTCCGTGGCTCTTGAGAAGAGCCGTGAAGGAGTAGTGCAGGTAAGTAGGCAAGCCCTAGCTAGTTGTGGCCGGGGGGAAAGGGAGTGCATGACAGCCACACTTCGTGATGCTGGGACCTTTCTTCTTCCAGGGGAACTGGACCGGGGAATGCAAGAGAACGGGGCACATATGCCATTCTTTGCTTGCCGGTGGAAGTGGAAGTGCGAGTGCGAGTGGCTGAGGTCGATGCTGGTGTCTACCATCCTTGCAGATCGAGAGCAGCCCGGCAGGCCAACCAGATACTGACAGTGCCATTGACTGTACGGAGTATCCTTCCTCTCCAGTCGTTCATTGTAACTCTCCTGTCCAGTCCGCTGTCTGGAGATGCGATGGAGATGTGATGCGATTCATGCATGGCCCCATTGCTCCGTGGGTGCTCCGTCTCTAGCTATGTATAGTAAGTATGATGACACCAGATAAAAAAGAAGACGCAGAAAAAAGAAGAAAAAGAAGAAGCAAAGAGAACCGACTAAAAGGGAAAAAAAGTCAATCTGTGTCAATCGGACTGATCGATTGAACTAAAGCAGAGCAGAGCAGCGCAGCGCAAAGCAGGCCAGGGGTTAGCAGAGTGGGAGCTTCTGCTGGTTCGTTTCAGGGGTCGCTTTATTCTCTTGCATCTTTATCCACCGCGAGAGCCATCCGGATGTTCGACGGGCAGTTAACATGAAACAGAGCCTTCGTATCTAACCATCGACTAACCAGACCAGTGGCTCGGAGTTGGAGTTGCACATTCGATCCACTGCATAAATCAATAAGTACGGAGTAAGTAGATGATGTCTGTGGTCCGGGTGAAGGTTGAGAGAGCAGCCGGGATCAAAACGTCACGGATGGAGTGATTGGCGGTGCTTGGGAGCTGCTTTTTCTCCCTGGATCGATCCAATGGATGAGTCTCTGCGTGTCCAGGTGCGATCAGGGGAGGAAAAGAAGCAGTAGTAGAGGAAGAAGCAAAGAGGAAGAAGCAGAAGAAGCAAAGGGAGGAAGATTGACCACGTCGCCAGCGATGCATGGACGGCAGAGATGGAGCAGCAGATGCAAGCAGCGAGAATACGAAGAAAATACTCGTCTTTCTTCAGCCTCGAAGTGAATAAATACAACGAGAGGAAGCGCGATATCCGTTGACGACGGCTGCTGCATGAAATAAAAAGGAAGAATGTTGAGAATAAGACTGTCTGTCTGTTTCCATCTGAACTGGCTTCTTATCTACTTCCTTACACCCCCAGACGGGCCATCATCGCGTTGTCCAGCTGTCCTTGACCTTGACTCTCTTCTCTCTTTTCTTTCTTCTTCTCTCCTTTCTCCTGTGTCTCTGGAATCACCTCCATCTCAGTCCCAGTCCCATGAGTTCTGTCTTCTTCGTCTCCGTTGATGCTGTGGCCTGCCGAGTCTCTGGCACCACCGGCCATGCGCTTGCGCTTCCTCATCCTCAGCTGCCAGATGCAGATCCAGGCCGCGATACCAGCGGCAGCGAGGCCTGCGCAGGAGACGCCAAATGCCAGGCCGACGCTGGCTGTCGGGTTAGGGTTGTCGTCCTTTTCGAAGCCTGGCGCTGGCTCGACTGTTGCTGTTGACGGCGAGCGTGGGGATACGGTCACTCTGGTACTGGTAACTGAGAAAGACGCAGAGAAAAGAGAGGGAGAGCCATGACGGCGCAGTTCGAGCGTGAAGGTGCGCGAGGGTCGGTGGAGGCGCAGAAGGAGAGACGACAAAGCGATGGTAAGTGAAGTAGCAGTTGGTGAAGTAGAAGTAGAAGGTGAAGTTGGCGATTCTTCTCCTGTTAGTGATGGAAGAGAGAGTAAGTAGTAGAGAGGGAGTAAGACACTCACGCCAGAGAAGAGACTCGAAGGACGAGGAGACGAGCCAGAGAGAGACATCTTGAGCATCTACGACATCCTGACTGTCTCTATCTATCTTCCAACTGACCACCAGCTGTGTCTCTCCTTTACTGCTGCTGCTGCTGCCCCAGTCGACAGTGAGGCCATCATCATCCCTAGAATCGCTAGAAAGACACAGAGAGAGACAGGCCAACAGCAGCCACGAGAGACAGACGAAGACCTTCATCTCGTGTCTTCTAATGCTACTGACTACTGACTACTCCGTAGTAAAAGAGAGGCCATCAATTACTACTTATCTACTGACTGTCTCGTCTACCGCCGGCTGTCCAGCTCCAGCGTCGTATTCTAGCTAGTTAGCTGGTGATGGACAGCCTTCATCTTCATCCTCTTCACCCTCGCCCGGCGCTCATCCTCCTTCGTCCTCGTATTTGTATTTAACGGACAGCAGCAGACTCTCTCTCTCACACACTTTACCACTCCAAAGTACTCCGTATGTATTATCTGCACCAGCGGTAGGACAGATGCTTGTCGGGCCATGGCATTGCTTGTCTTGTCTAGTCGAAGCAAACGGCCAGAGAAGAGAGAAGAAGGGGAAGACAAGGCTGGCTCCCCAGCGCCCTCCCACCCATGTCTGTCCCATCCATGTCTTCTGCAGGCCGTAGGGCGTAGAGCGTAGAGGGGGACTCTATGTAACTCTGGGATAGCCGGTAGCAGAGGAGAATGGCTGGTAGAAGAGAGAGAAAAGCCTTCTTCTACCCCAGACGCCTCCAGGGATGGCCCTGGTCTCATGCAGCATCCATGTCTTTCTCCTCCAGTACCCAGTGTCTTGTTGTCTGTCTGTCTCTGGCGAACCTACATAGATAGAAGTTAGTCAATGGCAGAGAAGAGCAGAAGAGCAGAAGAGCAGAAGAGCAGAAGAGCAGAGGCAGACCTGGTAGAAGGAGTCGAGTCTAGGAAGCGACTCACAGTAAAGGTGAAGAGAGAGAAACATCACCACCTCTACTTCTTCAACTTCTACTTCTACATCACCAACTATCACCAACTTCAACTCCATCTACATCTACTTCTACATCTTTCACTCTTCTTCTCTTCATCTTCTACTCTTCTACTTCTACTCTGACTCACTCCGATGTCGCTGGCTCACTAACAGGAACTAAGTCTTACTAACCTTCCAAGTCCCTCTAGTCGTTGTCAACCCGACCAGGCACAAGCAAAGAAAGAAAAGAAAAAGTCGTTACACCGTCTTTGACTCACCTTTTGTCCTTCTTCCAGCTTTTTCTCCTGCTTCAATTCCTGCTCTTCTTCCTCTTCTTCTCTTCTTCATCTTCTCTAATTCCATCTTCTCCAGCTTCATCTCCAGCTTCACATCTCAATTGACAGCCACCATGTCTCTGCGCGGACAGCCTCTGCTCTCATCCCTGCTGCGCCAGCGCTCCACCACCAGCGACAGCTTCGCCAGCATCACCAGCTTCGTCGCGGCCACCACCCGGCGCTTCAAGTCTGGCGCTCCGTCTCCCGCCGTCCTTGCTGCTCGCTGCTCGGCCAGGGACGTCGTCTTGCGGTCGAAGCAGTCGAGCAGCAGCAGCCTGGGAAAGGCCTTTGCCTTCCGGGCGTACTCTCACCCTCGTGCTCATCAGAGCAACAGCTGCAGCTACGCTCATGGACAGTTGCAGCTACGTGGATTCTCGACCGGCAGCAGCTCCAAGCTGGTCGACGTCAAGAAAGTGCTGGTCATCGGCAGCGGAGGCCTCAGCATCGGCCAGGCTGGTGAATTTGACTACTCTGGTGGGTTATACCATGTCTTTTGTAACTCAATGGCTGTGTACTGAATACTTAATACTGACTATGACTAGGATCCCAAGCGTTGAAGGCATTGAAGGAAGCTGGGGTGAGATCGGTGCTGATCAACCCCAACATAGCAACCATCCAGACAGACCACAAGCTCGCCGACGAGGTCTACTACCTGCCCGTCACCCCGGAGTATGTCACCTATGTCATCGAGCGCGAGCAGCCGGATGGCATCTTCCTCGCCTTCGGAGGCCAGACGGCTCTCAACCTCGGCGTCCAGATGAACCGCATGGGCATCTTCGACCGCTATGGTGTCCGCGTCCTGGGTACCTCCATCAAGACCCTTGAGACCAGCGAGGACAGAGACCTCTTCGCCAAAGCACTGAACGAGATCAACATCCCCATTGCTGAGTCCATTGCCGTCAGCACGGTGGATGACGCCCTCGAAGCTGCCGGCAAGATCGGATACCCCATCATCGTTCGCTCGGCCTATGCATTGGGTGGGCTCGGCTCCGGTTTCGCCAACAACCCGGACGAGCTGAGGGATCTCTCCTCTCGCTCTCTCACCTTGGCTCCCCAGATCTTGGTCGAGAAGTCGCTCAAGGGCTGGAAGGAAGTAGAGTATGAAGTCGTCCGTGATGCAAGCAACAACTGCATCACCGTCTGCAACATGGAGAACTTTGACCCGCTCGGCATCCACACCGGTGACAGCATCGTCGTAGCACCCAGTCAGACCCTCTCGGATGAAGAGTACCACATGCTGCGTACCGCTGCCATCAAGATAGTCCGTCATCTCGGCGTTGTCGGAGAGTGCAACGTCCAGTACGCCCTCCAGCCAGACGGGCTAGACTACCGTGTCATTGAAGTTAATGCTCGTCTCTCTCGTTCCTCTGCCCTTGCTTCCAAGGCCACCGGATACCCGCTTGCATACACCGCTGCAAAGATCGGACTGGGCCATACCTTGCCTGAACTGCCCAATGCAGTCACCAAGACCACCTCGGCCAACTTCGAGCCCAGTCTCGACTACATCGTCACCAAGATACCCCGATGGGACCTCAGCAAGTTCCAGCACGTTAAGCGTGACATCGGCAGCTCCATGAAGTCGGTCGGAGAAGTCATGGCCATCGGCCGCACCTTTGAAGAGTCCTTCCAAAAGGCCATCCGCCAGGTCGACCCTCGCTTCATCGGCTTCCAGGGTGACAAGTTTGAGAACCTCGACGAAGTGCTGGCTGAACCGACAGACCGTAGATGGCTCGCTGTCGGCCAGGCCATGCTCCATGAAGGTTACTCCGTCGACCGCGTCCACGAGCTCAGCAAGATAGACAAGTGGTTCCTCTACAAGCTGCAGAACATCGTCGACATGCACAAGTCTCTGCAGGCCGTCGGTGGCGTCTCCTCCTTGCAAAAGGACCTTCTGCTCGAGGCCAAGAAGATGGGCTTCTCAGACAGACAGATTGCGCTCTGTCTCGATGCCACCGAAGACCAAGTCAGAGCCTGCAGAAAGAGCTTCAACATCCACCCCTGGGTCAAGAAGATCGATACCCTCGCCGCTGAGTTCCCGGCTGACACAAACTACCTCTACACCACCTACAATGCCTCCTCGCACGACGTCACCTTTGAAGACAAGGGAACCATCATCCTCGGAAGCGGTGTCTACCGCATCGGAAGCTCCGTCGAGTTCGACTGGTGTGCTGTCAACGCTACCTTGTCCCTGCGCAACATGGGCAAGAAGACCGTCATGATCAACTACAACCCCGAGACTTACTCTACAGACTTCGACACCGCAGACAAGCTCTACTTTGAAGAACTCAGCTACGAACGTGTCATGGACATCTACGAGCTCGAAAGTGCTTCCGGAGTCGTCGTCTCCGTCGGTGGGCAGCTTCCCCAGAACATCGCCCTCAGACTCCAGCAGACAGGCGGCGCAAACGTCCTGGGAACCAACCCAGAAGACATCGACAAGGCAGAAGACCGCCACAAGTTCTCTCAGATCCTCGACAGCATCGGCGTCGACCAGCCGGCCTGGAAGGAACTCACCTCCTTCGAAGACGCCGAAGCCTTCGCCCTGGAAGTCCAGTACCCCGTCCTCGTCAGACCAAGCTACGTCCTCTCCGGCGCAGCCATGAGCGTCATCTACAACAAAGACGAGCTCAGAGACAAACTCCTCTCCGCCTCCTCCGTCTCCCCCGACCACCCCGTCGTCATCACCAAATTCATCGAAGGCGCAGAGGAAATCGATGTCGACGCAGTCGCTTCCCAGGGCTCTCTCATCCTCCACGCAGTAAGCGAACACATCGAACCAGCAGGCGTACACTCCGGAGACGCAACTCTCGTCCTCCCGCCCGCCAACCTCGACGCATCCATCATGGCCCGCGTGAAAACCATCGCTGAAAAAGTAGCCACTGCCTTCTCCATCACAGGCCCCTTCAACATGCAAATCATCAAAGCCAACAACCCATCCAACCCCACCGAGCCTCTTCTAAAAGTCATCGAATGCAACCTCCGCGCTTCCCGCTCTTTCCCCTTCGTCAGCAAAGTCCTCGGCACAAACTTCATAGACGCCGCCACGCGTGCCCTGGTAGGCACCGACGTCCCACCACCCACTGACCTCATGGCTCAAAAACGAAACTACCTCGCTACCAAAGTCCCTCAGTTCAGCTGGACCCGTCTCGCAGGCGCCGACCCGTTCCTCGGCGTCGAAATGGCAAGCACAGGCGAAATAGCCTGTTTCGGCAAAAACCTCGTAGAAGCATACTGGGCCTCGCTACAATCCACCATGAACTTCCGCACCCCGCAGCCAGGCGAAGGCCTACTGTTCGGCGGCGACACATCCATGTCCGAGCTACCGCGTATAGTAGACTACATACACCCACTAGGCTACAAGCTATTCGTGGCGAGCGCGGAAGTGAAGACGTTCCTTGAGTCTAGCGCCAAATCAACTGGCCTGGATATCCAGATCATCGACTTCCCGAAACAGGATAAGAGGGCGCTGCGTGAGGTGTTTGAGAAGAATGATATACGTGGTGTATTCAACATTGCGAAAGAGAGAAGCACGCATTTGCTGGATGAGAACTACGTTATGCGTAGAAACGCGGTGGACTTTGGCGTGCCACTTTTCATGGAGCCGAAGACTGCGCTGCTGTTTGCGCAGTGTATGAGTGAGAAGTTGCCGCGGAAGGAAGGCATTCCGTCCGAAGTCCGTAGCTGGTCGGATTTCGTGGGAAGGAAGTTGATTTAGTTCTGTACGATACGATATGGTGCACTTTAACATGGTGTGTTCTAGGTCTGGTTCGGTTTGAAAAAATTTCTATTTCGGCGCTTAAAAATCTTTCCTTTTGATTGTTTCTTGAAATTAGATAGCTAGAGATAGATACACAATCGATGCTTAGTTATTTTCATTGCCTTGCTAGAGTTAAGTCGTTGGGATACAAAGCTAGCCTTGGCCTTATTTAAGCTTAACTTCCCGGCCGACCAGCCTTATATCTGGAGGCTATCTAGCTAGCTGAGCTTAGAAAACTACTAGGAACCATGCAACGATGCATCGTCACACACAGATATAATGTTCCACGCAGTATGAAACCGCCAAACCATCGTTGTATATGAGCCCACATATCCTAGTTTGACTTGGGGATACCACTCCATCCAGAAATCTACACCTTGATCACCAAGGTCCAACTTCATAGTTATCTCGCGGTCGGAAATCTTTGGACAATATTTCGTAGACAATTTTTGCGTATACATCAGAATAAAGATGTTTTTCAGTCCTAAATAACGGCCTCGGCTTGATCACGTATTCTAAAACGTTCCTACCTTTGGCTCTGTCTCGCCTGCCTATCAACTTCATCCGGTTGATTCAGTTTGCTTTCTTCCAATAAGTAGCCTCCAAATCCAAAGCACATCGGCTGAAAGGATAACGAGAAACGAGAACACGAGACTGCCCCCAAACACCAGCCTATGATAAGTCCATGCGTTCTCAGGCCTTAGGTGTGCAACCTGACAAACAATGGCCCAAGGAAGGACATAGAGAAAATTAGAGACAAACGACTGATATAGGTACCATAGCGGACAAGTGGCTAGCAGGATGGTGGCTAGCTGGGTCGATACTGCATAGAAAATATAGCACCTGCATCAACTGTCAGAAAGCGATGATCAAGGCAGCCGCTAGAAGGACAAATACCAATCGATGGACCTCCACATTTCGGCAGTTATCTCAGAAACCACTTGCGATCCGCTTAGGTATAGCGCGAATCGTTGACATCCAAAGAAGGCAAGGAATATGCATAGGGGCACCTCGACCAGCAGGGCAATCCCCGCCGAGATGAGGGCGGGTTTGACAATATCTATATTAAATATAGGTCAGCACTCTGTTACGCACCTCAGTTAGAGGGTGGTTTCCCACTCAGCAAGTCACCCTTGGGGCGCCGATTTCCACAGGTTCTTGTAATCCTATGCCTCAATTCTCCCCACTTGTGGCCTACGAAAGTCAGCGACGTGGCCTCCAGCGCCTGTACTGGTACCATGATCAACCCCCAGCGAATGGTGTTGAAAACCCCCCACGCCGTAGCGTAATCTGAGCCCATCGATACTATCCCGGCCACCAGCCACAAGTAGAGTGTGTTCCGGACTGCCGATTCAAGGAAGAAGATGGCACCAGGTCGAGCGAGCACCCCCAACGTACCCGCGTTATATGTGACGTTAACCCAGAAGTGGCCGTGTTCTTTCAGCCGAGAACGCGCGATATAGATAAGGTAAGCGAGACCGGCAAGGGCAGATCCCATATCGCAGGCTAGGCGGATGGTGCCTTGTAGATTCACCGTAGGGCGAACAGCACCGATATGAAAGCTTGATATCAGGATGAAGTCCAAGATGATATTTATTATAAATTTCACCGAGCTTATCACAACGGGAACATCCGGCTTATCCAGAGCTCTTGTGGCATTTGAGACAGATACCTCCAGCGCTGAACTTAGAGCCGAGAACGCACTGATTCTAACGTACGTGATGCTTATACGACGACTCTCCAGGGGGACGAAGACGGATGCAAAACGATCAGCCGCAGAAACTATAACTATACTCATGATGAAGCCCATCAGGCTCTGGAAGAGAATGAGCGTGTATGTGAGCTGGAGTCTGGATGAAAGTGTACGGGAGGCTTTGTTGCCGATTATTATCCACACTGCACGCGGCAGCCCTTCATTTATCACTTCAACGATCACCCCAATGTAGGTATAGACATCGGTGGTTGCGACGGCAGAGGAGTCCAGTCTTGCAACCCATAGCTTCGATAGTGTGCCGTAAAGCGCAGGAAGCACGAATGCGACGAGGTTGAAGAGTAAAGCGCCTAAATAGCTGGAAAAATCAGCGTCTACTACGTATGAACTTGCACATAAAATACGCATACCGATCTCGAGCCAGCTGTCGTGAGCAAGCTATTGTCTGCATCCCTGCGCAGTTGACTGCTTGATCGTTAATCGTCCTTGTAGAAATATATTATTTAGTCAGTTACCCTTGGTGAATTTTGTGCATTTGGAGTAGTTAAATAACTACGATTGCTCTGAATCTTGGGGTGGAGAGGAGCAACTGTGCAGTTAACCTCGGTTCAATCAATCAACAAAAAATATTGTACCATTTCAAAAATACGTCTCTCCGCGCCTACTTTTACATCTGCACTGTAACTACGTCAACTTCGTCGCCATCTGTCGGTTTTTTTTTCGCTTTTTTGACGTTTATATGTAAATATATATCGTAAGCTTCATTTAACCATCTTCTTGATGCCCTAAGAGGTCTCCTTCGTTGCCAATTTAACTGTTATTTGGGATTCCAGCGACTTTTTATGGGATGTCACGTGGCTGCTGAGTAACTTGATTTCTTATTTTTTGGGTTCTGCGCGCTTCAGTCCAATCAGCAGCGATCTTCCCCGACATTTTGCGATCCAGCCCCACCTTCGCCGGTTGGTCTGTGCTTAAGCCATCTAGATATGTCGAGCTATGACATAGTATACTGGTAGCCCGCCAGTGGATGCTCTAGATGATAGGCATGTAGCTAATATTTCTAAACTCTTTGAACTAGCTGTTTAAGTTCGCCCTTCCTTGAACGAAATAGAAGGCTGTGTAGGGTTATGTCGATATAACTTCTCAAAATCCGGGACTCATAAAAGTTATATATTATGTTCTCTAACTCCACGAGTTGGTAGTGTAAAACATAAGCCATCTTAGTGGTGTCTAGGTCATTACTCTGGTTAAATAGGCGTCATGCATATAACACTGCATTCCTGAAATAAGAGCCAAGCCTGATTCAGGCTTTCGGTTCGATTGAAAACTGAGCCAGAGCTCATAACCAGGGCGGGAGGAAATCTAGATATCTAGATAGAATGCGGGGTCTTTGCTAGTACTAAATAAAAGGCGGAGGCCATATACAAGCACAGTACACAATTCGTGACCCTAAGAAAGCCTTCTATTCAGCTTCTATATTACTATACCTTACTCACATTTATCCCCTAAAGCTATAGTAGACAACTCTTCTACGTAGCCGGCCTATACTAAAAATTCGGGCAAATTGGACGATGAGGTTGTGGCTCTTAAACTACAGCTTGAGGAAATCGATTCCTATGGCAGGGAAAGCAAGGGCAAATGTCCAGCAAATAATCTTCCAGACAGTGAATTAGCCTATTCTTGAAATTAGATAGCTAGAGATAGATAAATGTTGGAGCCGGTGTTTGACCAGGGTCGCGACGGGTCGGAGGCACAAGCCTACAAGTTGAAGTAAGTACAGGCTCCACTACAAGATTTTTATAGGGTACCTATGCTTGTTCAGGTATGCTTTGAGCTCTTTCTTCGCCCTTTCATTTCCACGTGCCATTATAGTATTTGTGTAGTAGTGATTATATTTGATAGGATGGCTTTGGATATCCTCTATGAGTTTGCAAAGCTCGTCCTGGGCAGCTCTCTACCACGTGACTTGGTGATATGGATGGCCACGAACCCACGCGATAGCTTTTTTTTCGGTTCTTTTTGCTGGGGCCCGCTATTCCATTCCCCAGGAGAGATCTTCAAACGGTAATTTTATGTGGCCGGAGTTAATTTCAACCCTCCATCATCCTTGCCATCTGTTCCTCCCGCCGTTCACCGCAGACCACTAGTTGAGGGAGTGAGAGCACGCCCTCAAACCCACACTTGCGAAGCCGAGTGACGATGTCTAGGGCTTGTCTTTGCTCATCGCTCTCCAATGCTACAAGGGGGCCAGTGGTATGAAACTCGTTTACGCTGTTCTGGAGAGCGTTCTCTACAACCAAAATTAGTTGACGACTGCCAATCGCACCTCGGCCTAAGGAGTGTGACTCGCCAGGTATCTGTTCGATAAAACCCATCTTTACCTAGTTGATCACTTTTATGCTACAGTGACTTTGAGAGCGAACTTGTATATATATAGAATGATCTCTATGCCACGGCTAACCGAGCTATATATAAGGTAGCAATCGATTAATTTTCGAATGACTTGTTTAAGAAAGTTCGCAGAGATTTGCAATAGCCATAGCAGTAGTACGACGTCTAAATTCACTGTTGGCTACTTAACATAGGGTACACCATCTTTTATTGACCCTGGAAGATTAACTTATATTACTAGATATATCATCAATAGCGACAAACTGTCGTTGGCTAGCCCTGGAAGTAGGACTGAAAAATCACCTGATTGGTCTTATGTATCAGTCCAAATTAAACATCATGGTACTATACATATTTATCACAAGGGCTATTATCTAGTCATTTGTAGATCATCACTTGAAAAACAAAATAAATTCGACAATGGAAATTATTTATGGTAGAAAACTCATTGCAGTCAAACTGTATTTTTTTATTCCAGACTACTAATCCTATAGCCACAGCTGGGTCAGTTTTTCTTTGGGGGGTTAGCCAGAGGTTTATTGGCGAGGAGCCGAACGATGTCTGCGGAAAACCCAGCATGCTCTACCAAAACTAACTGAAAGTCGTCCTTATGCAGGAGTGACCCGATATGTTGGAAGGCAGTCTGCGAAATTATATCACGTAGCCCTCGATTGGTGGAGGGGGTGCTTGTATAAACCTCTATAATAGCTGGGGAAAAGTCATCCATATCCCAATAGGTATGCACGGCATCTGTGAATTTCCCTTTGGCTCGTTCTTTTAGATGGGGTATAGAATATCTCTCTGCAACTTCATACATTCTGGCGTTGAAGAGCATAGGTGAGATTCGCCCTCGGTTGCTACCACTCCCATCATAATCGGTCTCGTATATAAAACGGACCATTGCTTTAATAGTATAGGGGTCATCCTTCGAGAGATCAATAACGTTTTTCGCAGTCTCCTGAGAGTCATTAGCTGCAGGCCTCTTGTTCGATAATATACACTAGTTAGACATACCTTCTAATTCCCGTTAAATATACGGGCGAAGTACTCCGACTGCCCACAGACAATTACCTTATGAACTTTGAAGTCATCTTCCGCGGTTTGAATGGTAAAGTCGGTGAACTTGGAGGAATCAAAGAAACTATACCTTGTTAACTTTGAAAGGTCAGGCTTAAGGCGTATATCATACCTTTTCAGGTTGGTTTTAAGTATGTTATTGATTTTGTCCATGTCGTATGGAATAATAGGCGTGATATCTGTAATCTCGGCAGGTAGACTAAGAAGCTCATCACACTCTTGAACCCAGGAATCTACTCGGGGATCAACAAGAGTTGCACTCTTTTTCCCCTTCTTCTTTGCCATGGCTATTGACGTCTTATTTACGGCTTATATTTCCTCACTTCTCCAAAGATAGGGCAGCAGTAGCCACTTTTAGAGCAATCACAAGAAGCGTCTAGACCTTGGACTGGCGATATATTTTACACTCAACTAAGTATTATGTACAGTTCCGCATAGCAAGCCTTGAATCTGGTATTACTAAATAGCCTGCAAAAGTCTGAGCAGTGGAACGCCATGTCGACGGGGTTCTTTGTTTTGTCTGCTGGTTTCCCGCTTGAAACAAAGAGCATACAGCGGCAACCGAACCTCCCGACGATCGACCAGACAAGATGTATACCTAATTTTGGTCAATTATATGGAATTTGCACGTCTCGCTGGTATATATATGGCACCATCTGGTCAGTATTCTATTCTTTTTGCCTTCCATAGACTATCAACGCTGAACATATGGAAGATTCTATAGCTCTCTGTCCACGGAACCTATGGGGGGTTTATGGTACAAAGAGGCGCGATACTCGAATCTGACGATATCATCCTAGCACAAGGCGATCTCGAAATGGAGGATATAGAGATTATCAATAGGGCTGGCCACGAACGCAACATCCGAATTATTTTTTCGGTGAATGGTAATAACAAGTAAATCAATCCAACGATATTTATCTTCTTCACCCGCGTCAGGCTGACTGGTTAGCTAGCTGTGAAACCTATGGAATTACCTATAAGTGTTGGACAACGGCAGGTATTCAAAACTCTTGACTTTCGTTATCTTCTACAAGCTTTCTAATCCAGCGATCAGGGCTTGCGTGGTTAAATATTTCAAGTTATATCAAAGGTGCTTTCCCACTTGCCCAGCACACCCGCCCGTATCCAGGACCCACCGATGTTTCCTAGGACAGATCCCCAAACTGCCTTTAATGCACCCAGAAAATGTTAGAACCGTATACATGGTGAGTGGGAAGCAGGAGAGTCTAGTAATCCTTACAATTTGCTCTCACCTACGTATGTCATTGCCTCTTATAGTAAAAAAGTGATGGGCAGGATCATGGCACCTCTTGGGTATCCCAAAAGAGGCGTATTTTTTTGTAAATAAGGTAGGTAGTAGGTGTATTCCTCTAGTGAAGTCCAGCTTAAAGAGAAATGTATTCCTTTGATAGTTTTAGAATAAGTGGATTCGAGCAAAGATTCACTGTAATTCTACTACATCATATCTAGTTGGGCGAAAGCCTTGCTGGAAATTTCCCCTGAGACAGCGAATCACGTGACTAGATTCCAACCAGTAATGTAAATTGATTCTTGAAGTTTGAGTTTGAATCTGGATGCTTGCGCCGTTTTGGAATCATGTAACATACGAGTGTTCGGAGAATCTAAGATTGAGATGAAAATCCGAAACAGAAAATCGTATCATTCCTTTAGGGAGCCTGTTTCAAAATCGCTGGTTACTATAGGTTTTGCGGACGCCATCTGTTGGTAGAGTCGGTCCAAATAGCTTTTCTGGTTGTCTAATTCTTTCGCACCTTCTGCCAAAGCGGAAGAATCTGAGAAGAGCGCCTGGCCAGGACATAGCTCCGCCCATTCATTGTTCCCAGACAAGACTTCAATTCTTGGAAACAAGCACAGGGTCTTGAAGCCCTGTTCGTTAATGGGGCAAGCTTGACTGTCTGGAAAATCATGGGATACCCATCCAACCCTACTCTCGTCGTCCGGAAATGAGATAGACACTTGCATGTAGTCAACCCGAATAACGCCCCATAGCCTAGCCCCATCCTGAAAGATGGTTAAAAGGGAGTCTCTGAATTTTTGGAAGTACTGAGGCTCAACTTGTCTCTCGAGAAATCTAGAGATGTCCTCTGTTGCCCGCTGCACGATCAGGTCGACCTCTGTGTTAGCCAGAGAGTCGATGATCTTGTACGTGAGGGCCCTCCATGCAGTTTCGAGCTTTGGATCTAACAGTCGACCGGCATCGGACAGGGCCCGAAGTGTCGCTGAACTGGAGGAGACCATGCCCTCTAGGGCTCTGGAGCCGAAAGGTTTCCATAGCGATTCGCATATTCGGCGTGAGATAAGAGATTGAGCGGCGCGAGTTCGGAGAAATTCTGATATCGGGGAGGCGGAGATGGGGATGTTTCGAAACACAGCGTGACTCTCACTGACGCTCCCTGCGTACCTGAAGCTCTAAGACAGAATAATGGGTATGAATTCATGAATGGTTGTAATCGGAAAATCCTGCCATACCTGAAATGCTTCCTGTGGCAGTTTTGCTACATAGGTAGTTGTGATGGCCTGGATGGAATGATAGAGCTGTTCGAATTGCGTCTTCCTAAGCAATAACGATATGTCAGAGACTACCGACAACTGCAAGGGTGAGGGGAGGAGATCTTACAGGTCAGTGATATCTGCTGACTGAATTGGTAGCCTCGCGTTGTATTCCGACAGCTGCTCTTCGAGCTGCAAATTTCTCTCCAACGCCATTTCCCCAATCCTTCTCTGTTTTTCTAGGGCAAGTTGGCAGGCTTCCATCTTACTGACTTCTGCATTCAAACGGGAATTGTTACTCTCCAGCTTCCGAATCTTGTCTTCAGTGTCCCTTCGGTACTGGGCAACTTGAGCCTCCACCTGCTTTTTAGCCTTTTCTTTCATCTCCACTTCCATGCTTTCACGTTCTTGCGCCAGGGAGGCTTTGTGGAGCTCTAACATTTTTGCACTTTGATCTTTCTCTTGTTCAAACTCATGCTTCCTCCTGTCTAGCTCCTCGTAGTCTCTATCAAGGCGTTGACGTTCTGTTTTATTTTTCTCCATGTCCTCCGAAGTGACCCTGTGCGACTCCCTAAGAGCAGTGTCAAGCTCCTTGATTCGTTTAGCACTGTCAATCTCGGGTTCGAGGCCAATTTTCTTCATATTGTGTGCTAGATGCGCGATGACTCCTACTATATTGGAAAACTGCTCAACAGTATCTTTATTTCGAAGGAGTTTATCCATGGCACCTCCCATTGGATGGATGCTGCTGAGGACATCAGAAACCGGCTGGGCGCTTAGAGAGGCTGACGGTAAATCATCCATATCTTGCGGGTCATGATTTGGATAACTGGCCTGGCGTCTCTCTTTCCGCGCCTGAAGCCTCTCGGACCGCTGTGCCTCACGGTCGTTGGAGCTCTTTCCCATCCTTGCACCAGGAAACTTCAAAAGAATCCAACCTTAGCCGTCGTCGGTTTGTTAGCGATAAGCTTGGTACTTACTAGCCCTCCTATCCTAGATAGCAACGATCTGTCGCGTATTGCTTTGGTCATTCAATTTCAAGATGGATCAATACCGCGCATTGTCTGTCAGTAACGTTGGTTTGTCTACACTCCAACTCGCCTGGGAGCTCGGCACTTCTTCTGCCTTATAACCAATAACTAGTTAATATACAGGGAAGTAACCCCGCGCTCATTTTCCACGGTGTTAAACATTGATGGGATGCGTTCTTTTCTATTCCGAATACGTCCGGCGTATGTCGCCTTATCTGTTCCATGCAACATTCGTGTAGGGTTACACAGGTTGTATTTCCACCGGAGCCTAGTGGATGCCATGCCATGAATACAAGGATCAGAGGGTATAGAAGCGTAATGCAATGACTGCCCGTGGTGGGTGGGGCGGCTATGTGGGAAAAGAATATGCATCAAGCAGCAGCCAGTCCTAGATCTCCTATATAACCGCGTCGTCGGACACGGTGAGAGAGATATATGATGGGTCGCCTCGCCGTGATATATGTTTGCTGTCAGGCCTTCACTAAATGCCAAGAGGTTTGTGAACTTGACTGACTTCATGAAATACATTTGAAACCCGACGCATGAACATTTGAAGCTTACGGAATTAAATATTGCTGTGCGTCTACCTTATCTATTGATCAGAGGGAAATTTTAACCTTTCAGTCCCTGCAAAAGTTGTGCAGCTTAGAAAGGGTAAGATTTTCAGCAGGTCAACAGGAGATGAATCTATATACTGTGTCGCACCTACATACCCACTGCCCCTTTACTCTGAGCATGAACCGTGTGTTTCTTAAGGCTGCTGCTGGTTAATCCAGTATTCTTGTACAACACGCAGATCGGTCACCTTTCGTCGACAGATACCCGTTATAACAGATCATACCCAAGCTTTTACAATGTATAAGTGCATCAGACTATACTCGTTATTGGAATCATCTAACTCTCTCTAAGCACAGGGTCAGCGATCAACTCGGAATTATAGCATCAATGTCGTCGAAAACGAGTATCAGGCCAGTTGAAGATATCGTCGGCTACACATTCAAGTCAAAACCTCTTCTCTTAAAGGCGCTCACTGCCGCGGGGTCAGAGCTCAACGATTATGACGGCAACAGGAGACTGGCACAACTTGGAACTGCCTTGGTTGAATTCCTTCTCGTTTACATTGGCTATAGGCAAAACGTTCCCAGGGGTAACTAAAATTTCTCCGTTGTAATAACTAAACGTTAGTTATCGATAACTCACATCTAAATAGATCATACCACCCGATTTAAAATTCGGTTTGGCGGTAGCAAACATCGCGCCGCTGTTGCAAAGCGCACTGGCATCGATAGCTATATCAGCTACAGCTCGAGGTCAGGCGCAAAAGCGCCAACCGTTCTTGCTAAGTCTTTGAACGCGATTATAGCTGCTACCTTTGTGGACTCGAGGGATATTGCGGTTGCTTTCAGAGCCATGTTACGCCTAGGGTTGGTAATTAATTCTGCTAGAACAATTAACCTCAATCTAACGATATTCTTTGACAGTGTTCTGGTCGAAGAGAACGGCTGTATTAACCCAAGGCTGTTAATGCTTGACCAGGGGGAACCTTGCGAGACGGTATGGTCGATTATGAATTTGCTTATTGGCGGGGATTTTGTGGATATCAATTCGCCTACCGAGGGATGCATTAATCCCTCCCAACCATTCAATGATTCTGGTTTAAATCCGCTTGCGATAGAAGATGAAACCTTTTGCCCAACAGTGGCTGAAAATGGCCATGATTCGGGGCTTGAGACTACGTTGGAAACGGAGCAAGGCGGAGGAAATTCTAGCATTTCCGAACCGCAAAATGACCAAATTATGGCGGATCTGATGGGGGGTAGGAGCCAACACCAGGAGACTACATGCTGCCCGGAAGCCTCGCTGTTGCTCAATAGCCAAAACAAGCCAAGCCAAGCGCAGGCAAGAAATATCGCCTCCGATGGCATTGCTGGATCTTTATCTGCCCAAGACAATAAAGGAGCAAGAAACTTATCTGACAACGCTTTTTCTCGCGGTAATGCTACAAGAAGAAAGAGGCCAGCCAAATCAGTTGAAAACTGTGCATATCCCAAGAAACCCGCATATGCTTTGCGAACAATCGACGACCGGCTTGGACAATTCCTCGTTCACGAAAATGAAAAATGCAAAGCTCAAGGACTCCAACCTCCGAGCGAAACTTTTTTCACACCTCACATCCAAGAGCGTGTGTTGGGTCTTGGCAGCGGTACCATAGATGTTTTGGGGATGACTGTGGCCACTATTGCAAGCGCACAATCTGTCATCACCCTCCAAGAAGCCCTTCGATACAAGCGAGCTCAGACCGGCTATGCATTGTGCCAATTAAAACGAGGGATTTCTTGCCGCGATCGGATTCAAATCATCGAGAAACTGGATCAAAGTATCGTCTATGCACACCTACTTAGACGATACCACGTTCTCGAACTGTTTGAAGAGTGTGGAGGCCCTGACAATGGGTGGAACAATGGCTTTGTTCTCACAACTCCTCTTGATTTTAAACAGGCCACGAGAAAATCCGGAAATCCAGTAAACAATGCTGACTCTGAAGTTACAAAAACCATGATGCAGAAGTGTTTCCCGGAGGTGCAACCGTCCGCGGAAAACTATGTAGCCAAGTATCGAGCTATGAAAAGGCTACGAAAACTTGGTGAACGACTTCATTTCATGACGACCAAATTTGGTAGAGGTGTGCTTGGGCTCTTGCTGGATGGTAGAGAGACGCATGAAGAAATTGGGATTTCAGACAACATGTAAGTGACTGACCTATAATATTTTTTTTCAGCAAGGTGTAACCGTATCTAGGATTCTTGCTGTTCCTGATACAGAATTTGCGGAGTACGTTTCGGTTCTCGATACATCACAGGGGGCTGCCCTCCGTGAATTTAGTGACGCAGTATTGAGGCTTGTTAATGCACTACTTTATGGTACACTACCGGACAGCGAAACAACGCTTGAAAGGGCCGAGAAAAAGGAGATCTTAGCTTGCGCGAAGGGATCTCGGGCCTTATTGAGCTTTCTCCAACCACTCTGACTGAAAATTTAAACAGAGATTTAGATCCGAACTGTGATCTTAGATACCCAGGGATCAGCACCAACGAATCTGGGCCCGGTGAACCCTAGTTATCACGGCGATCTTGCATTTTATCATTGTCTATACATACCCTTGTGATTGGATTTAGATAATGGTTCTCGCAGATTTCTGAAATTGGAAGTTACGACAGCGGGATGTTGTTAATACCTAAACGGGTATAGCGTGTTCTCCACGGAACATAAATAGACCATTCATTATGCAATCTTGGCCAGTGCTTAATTCAGCTTATACTTTCGATCTAGTTACTCCTTAATTTCCTCCCTTCCTCCAATAAAATATTACGAAAGCTATGACTTCGTCCAAGGGCTCAACGGCGGCCGGCGTTTCACATACCCACTCGATACGTTTGACCGCGCCCAGTTCATCCGATGCCCAGAAGCTGGAAAACGCTGAACTGCGATACCATATGGGCCTGTTAAATTCTACATCGACACAGGAGGCTAAGGAGGCTTCTCTCGCACCCATAGTCTCAGGCTGCGTACTCAGGCACAAATCAGACTCCACAGAGTCAACCTCGGGAATCTCTCAATATGGACTACTGGCAGGGCTATGCCATGTTCTAACATCTATCGACCCAAAGCAGGAGCTGAATTTGGAAGATTCTGGAGACCCTCGGCTTTTCTTTAACGTTACATCGCCATCAAGTACATTTATATGTGGCTCGCAAGGTTCTGGTAAGAGCCATACATTATCATGCATGTTAGAGAACTGTTTGATACCGTCGAAAGCAGGACAGCTTCCTCGCCCTCTCACTGGCGTGTTGTTTCATTATGATACGTTCATTAGTGATACTGGGGGTTCGCCCTGTGAAGCAGCATTTCTCTCATCGAATGATGCTGTTACGGTGAGAGTATTATGCTCACCGACCAACATCCAAACTATGCGGGCAAGTTGTCCTTCCTTTTAATATGTGTATTGTCTAACCTGGCTACGCAGGCGGTTTATTCAAGATTCAATATCCGTGTTGACCCACTACAGATCGATCAAAAGGATCTTAACACAAAGCGCATGCAGGATCTCATGGCGGTCAGCCAGGAAGGCGGGCCGATGCCTCTCTACATGCATACCGTGAAAACAATTCTACGAGATATGCGGATTCAGCAGCAACTTACGGGGACCGGGTTTGACTATGGGGAGTTTCTAAAGAGAGTGATGAACTCTGACTTGACTTCCTCCCAGTTTGGGCCTCTCAAACAGCGCTTGGATACCCTACAGAGTTTTATGCCCCAGGGACAGGCCAATTCTTACGACAAGAAGGGAAAGAAATCTTTACTGAGCAAAGGCACAGACTGGGAACCTCAGGTATGACCATTCCCTATTAATATTTACTATCGCTAATTCTTGTAGTCCGGTCACTTGACCATTGTTGACCTTTCTTGTCCATGTATTTCCCCAGACACGGCATGTTCACTATTCAATGTTTGCCTGGAGATTTTTCTCGAGCAAAATCCTGCAATTGGGCGGGTTGTGGCTTTGGATGAAGCTCATAAAGTTTGCAAATCCTTCCATATAGACCCTTAGAAAGGGAGTCGCTAATTGTTATTCAAGTACATGAACTCATCCCCCGAAGCCTATGGATTTACCAACACGTTGCTATCCGCTGTTCGGCTACAGCGGCACCTCGGAGCTCGTGTAATCATCTCAACACAGGAACCGACGATTTCTACTGCTCTCCTGAACTTGTGTTCCGTCACAATCGCCCACCGTTTTACTTCCCCCGAATGGCTACGAACCTTGCGCAGCCATTTGGCAGCAGCTGCGGCTGACGCGAAGAATGGGCCAGCGCCTAACCCGTCAGACGAAAATAGTGTGGAAAACAGTTCGGCTTCGCTTTTTGACAGGATTGTTCGCTTAGACGTCGGCGAAGCACTATTGTTCTCTCCAAGTGCTATCGTTGGAGCAAGTGATAGGGGAGATAATCAGCTTGCATTGCACCGGCTAGGTACTGAATGTGTGACTGTTAAGATTCGAGCGAGGTTGACTCTGGATGGTGGAAAGAGTATCCTCTCACACTGAATTGGGCGATGTAACTTTCCGTTGGTGTACGGTTGACTACGGCAACAGGCTTGCGCTGAATATCTATTCAACGAAGAGACTTTGATGGATTGTGCATAAAGTATATAGGGACTGAAGTCGGGGATTTAGGGCACCTACATAGCGAACCAAATCCCTCGCGGTCCGAGAAGTCCCACTCTGCTTTAAACTCAACCTTAATCACACCGTTTCTGGATCACGAACCATGTTGGCTCCCATGTCACGTGTTCCGGATACAGCCTCCGAAATAGTTATCGTGTACTCCGTACCCAAGGGAATACTGCCGGAAGACCTAAAGAGAGAGCCTAGACAGGGTATGATGTGTCACAGATCGGCATTACCAAGAGTTTGCGGCACGGCCCGAAGAGAGGAGTTGTACAGATGCGTAACCAATTTCAACGACCAAACATTTGCATCCGCCTAATTCCTCGGATGCCATATGCCATTTCCCGCTGATTGATGGTATCAGATGCCCACCTTAGCATTGTAACCTAATGGAGTACGTTCTTTCACTCTAGAGTTACTCAGCTTGTCTTGTACTGTCGACTCCAGACCAATAAGAAAAAGAAAAGAGAACTATCCTCAAGAGGAGACTCTTTCTTAGATACATATCCTCTATACCTACCCCTAAGGCCTACTCTTTAAGGTCTGCCTGCCTATCAAGGCTTACCCTCTAAGTATATGACTCCTTAAAACCTATCCCCTTACGTCTATACCCCTTTAAATCTATACCCCCCCTTAAGTCCACTCCCCTAAGGTCTATAAGTCTTAAATTCGTAACTAATAGATAAAGTAGAGTGACTTTCTTTTTAGTTGGGAGATAGCTACAGGATAAAACAAGCTGCATGAGTCTAGAATGGAAGAACGTACTCCATCAGGTTAGAGGTGCCAAGGTGAGCATCCGATACCGTCAATCAGCAGGAAACGGGCATCCGAGGAATTAGGCGCACTTGCATCCTTACCCCTCATCTACACTACTTATATATGGATCTCACCGTAGTTATATGATCAGCAAACCTACACACTTTAATTCCTTCTAAAGTTTCCAAATGAGTTTATTCTTCAACTCATCCTTTCACCCATAGCATTCAATCTCATATGACTTAATGTTAAAAGTCTGCAGGGCCCTCCTTCTTCAAGGAACTGCTTGTCTTCGAGCATCTGACAAGCCCTCAAACTCGTTGGGTCTAAATTTTTGGTCGTGGGCATGATTTGGACAGGTTCATGCCGCCATCGAAATTGGATGCATATATCAACCCGACCGAGGATTTTTCCTTTTGTATACACTCTAATCCAACAGTAAGATTTCCGTGCTCCGCCCTGGGAGCAAAGTCGCGGAGATATGGGGTCAGTCGGGATAGACGACGATTATTACAGGATATTAGAGGTAGCTGAAACTGCCACTACAGAAATGATTACTAAATCATACAAACGGCTGGCTCTCCGTCTGCATCCAGATAAAAACAAGAATATCAATGCTACAGAAGCGTTTCAACTGGTGTGTAATTCTCTCATTCTGGGTGATTACGCCCAATCTTCTATGCAGGAATCGTTGATACGTCTTACTCACATGTCCGGGCTGCCAAAGCTAGTGAATGCTTATGAAACCCTCAAAGACAAAGACAAACGGCGAGCTTACGATCTCACTTACTCACGGGTCAAAAGTACTCCGAAGGGCTACCCAACATCCACCGGGCAAACGTCTTATTCTGCATCCTCTACCGCGAATCCGAGACAGGATGATATAGCCGAAGAGGCTGCTAAAATCTCGGCTATCCACGCAGCTAAAGCACAGCGCGCCGCTAAATGGTCGAAAACCCAAAAGGCATACGAAGACGCCATATTCGAGCTCCAAAGGGAAATTCGGAAGCTGCAGAACGCAATCAAAATCCTTGAGGAGGTAGATAAAGCTGAAGATGCGGAGGAAAGAGCAGCGAAAAGTTGGTCAGCCTGGTTCCTCTCTCCAATATATAAAAAGCGCGTCGAAACCGAAGAAGAAAAGGAAAGTAAGGCCAGGGAACGAGTGCAGAGACTCCATAATAAAACTTTTAAAACGATGGACTTGAAAAAGAAGGATTCTAAGTTAAAGAATTATCAAAGTCTCTTAAAGGCCGAGCAAGAGGTGTTTGATAACGCAAACAGGAGGGATGATGCAACTCTGTTCATGGCTGAAGAGCGCATACGCGCGAAGAGAGAGCGGGAGCAACAAGAAAAGGACAGGCAAGAAAGAGAATCATGGCAAAGAGCTTGGAGAGAAACATATGAGAGGCAGCGGAGGGAAGAGGCGGAGGCAGCGAAGAAAAGACGAGAACAGCAGGAAAAAGAGGAAGCAGAATTGCGAGAGCGGCAAGCGAAAGAAAAGGCGAGGCAAGAAAGGGAATTCCAGCAAAGAGCTTGGAGAGAAGCTTATCAGAGGCAGCGGAGGGAAGAGGCGGAGGCTGCGAAGAAAAGACGAAAACAGCAGGAAAAAGAGGAAGCAGAACTGCGAGAGCGGCAAGCAAAAGAAAAGGCGAGGAAGGAGCAAGAAGAACTTGACAAATCGCGACGACGTAGGGCACCCACAAGATGTTTTCATGATTGCTGGTGGGATAAAGTCGAAGGGCGTATGGCATGTGAGAAGTGCTCCGTGTCTCGTTATAGCTACTTGCTCCAGTGCCCATTGTGTAAGATGAAAGCGTGCGCAGCTTGCCAGCAACAACTCAGACCACGAAAACGGAACCGTGGAAGAAATAAAGCCTGACCAGCATCTGCAATAGGCGAATAGGAGCTTCTAATCCGGGTCCCAGTTAGTCCTTCTAGCCATCATCATTCATCTATTTTACACCTATTTATCTCCCTTTCCAGGACTCACCAGGACGCTGAGGCATTCCCTTGCTACTCCGTTGTGTTTTAATGACCCGCGATGCTCCACCAAGCCTCGGGTCAGGATACAAAGTTAGCCTCGGCGTTAACACTATTTAAGCTTAACTTCCCGACGGACAAGCCTTATATCTAAAGGCTATCTAGCTAGTTGAGTTTAGATAACTAGTAGGAACCATGCTTCGAGACCTCAACGATGCATCGTTATATACAGATATAATCTTCCACCAAGAATGAAACCGCCAAACCATCGTCCCCGTCCGCGGCACGTCTAGCCATCCCTCGGCTAGCTCCTCATCAAGCCCACCATCGGTTTCACCCTCACCACCAGTGAGATCGATGCCCTGTACTTCCACAAGAAATGTATTTCCATCAACTTTACACCTTCTGATACGTATAGGCATAGATACCTCTCGTGACACGTCCTGGTCCCAGCGTATTTGGCCGAGGGACTCTACGTGGCCATCTTCATAGTACAGTAGCAATCCGATGCATGTGTGGCGTGGCATATCTAGATCCCTACACACTCGCACCCTTGACAGTCCACTTAGCGTGGCTGTGGTCATGTACCAGTCCAACCCTGCTCCGTTGGAATACGGGACTGGAGAAGTGTACCCCTCAATCTCAGCAGGTGGCGGAGCTGGCTTCAAAGACGTGAGAGTGGCATCTTCACTCTCGCGACAGGTGACACCGAAGTGCGAGGCTTCGGCCTTTTGCATGTCTAGTCCGTCGTGAGTGAAACCCGAAATCGTACCGTCGCCGTCCTTGACTAGTGGGAAAAATTCGTTAGTCTGATGGTAACTTCCCCGATGGTAGGGCCCGAATGTAGCTGTTCTCCCGAGCGTGGTTTGAATCTGAAGTACCTAGTTAGCTACCTAGTTACCTCCCAAGTTAAGCATTTCGGTGAAAGAATGGCTTACAGCTAGTACTGGTTCTGCAAACGCCCCAAATTGTCCTTTCATTTTGCGAATCCAAGCAGCCGTAATCAGTTCGCCGTCGTTGATTGGGAAGTACATCCAAAACGTGGGACGCAGGTTGGCCTTTTGCTGCATCGAGGCAACAAACTCTTTGAATGGTTTTGAAAGGCCTGAAAATGCGTATAAACCCATGGTCGTGGTAATGCAACAGCAAACAACAAGTCCTTGAACGCCCTCGCCGTCAAGGTTAACGTAGTCTAAGCGATGGCCTCCGAAATCGTCATAAATGTTCCATGGTTGAAGTTTAGGGGGGGTTGGGCAGCTCCATAAAGGCAAGGTGCCTTGAGCTTCCTTGTCCTCTGCACGCCGTATTCCTCTAACAAATAGACCCTGTTCTTAATGTTAGGTTGCAAAACCAGCTGAGGGGCCAGAGTGACTTACCTCAGTAGCAACATGGAGCATCTGGCTGGAGTCTGGGATGTCGATAAAGTCATACCATGGTGATCCATCTGATCGCGGGGGAGCACTCCCGTCCACTACAAATTGTATGCCTCGCACACCAATATGGTCAGTCGATACGACAATCTTGTTCAGACCATCGGGTATGTTCAAACACTCTAGGCTCCAGCCATCCAAGGGAGGCTCCGGCTGTTCGTTGCTGATAGTAGAAATATAGAAATTGCCTTGATAGGGTATTCTCGAGATATATACCTCTTTGTTCAGGCTCAATTGTTTGCACGGACTTTCATGCCGACTTCTCAACTCCTCAATCAATCTGCAGCTCTCCCCGAGCACGATCAGATACCAGCATGAGCCAATATAGCTATAGATAATATCCTGGATTTCAGCCGGTAGCCTTTCAAACAATTCGATTCTGAGGGTGTTTTCCACGATGGGCCTTGCATGACGGGAGAAAAGCCCTTCACGGGAAGATGCACTGTCGGTATCGTTCCTACGCAGGAACTTGTACATAGGTTTGGTTACGGTTGCAAATCTGCGCAAGTCCTCAAGCGTCGGTTCATTGGGCTTGTTGCTAGCCCTCAACAGGTCGAAACAGAGCTTATGCATCCATGGCTGCTCATGTGGCTTTATCGAGCACGTTACACAACTCGGTGAGCACTCCAGGGTACCAAGCTCCTTTCCATGTAGATCTAGTACACAAACATATTAGTGATGCCTAATCAATTGTTCGTTGACCATCTAGTAAAGGCCCAGTAGCCCACCGAGAGTTAGAGACTGGGAAGTTGCAACGTGTCTACAGAGTAGACAGGTTGTCTTGCCGAGATGGATGCTGAAATCAGGCTCATTTTCATAATATGCAAAACTTGTCATCGCGTGAATCCGTGAGCTGCACTTTCAATGCCAGCTCGAGGTAGACAGCCCGTTGCTTGTCTATATCTCGATGCCACAGCCTCGGCCGCCAAAAGCCAGTATCAGCCCCTAGGAGTTTAATTCGTGTTTCGGCTAGTTATATCTATAACGGAGTAACGCTAACTAACTAATTAGTTAGAACCAACCCTTGAAACAAATCCAGTGTTCTCATAAGGTGGTATCTATCAAATGCTGTATGTTGTCTGTGGTGAATGTAGACATTTTTTCAACCCTCAAGTTTGTCAAATGAGATCCGATTTGCGCCAAGCCATCTCTCTTGCAGCCCGGGCCAACAGTTATTTAGTTAAGTTAGTTAGTTCAACTAGTTATTTAAATGCAACTCCAAATTGTGACAACTTCGTCGGTTAAGATTTTTTCAATCATCCCATAAGTATCGACTAGCGAACGAGACAGTCAAAATGTTGGATAAACTATACACAGAACTGCTTCTCACCATCATCTCAGAGGTACTATACTTTTCATAGACTGGTTAGTGGCCAGGGACGACTATGTTGACCGTTTCTCCGAACAACCCCCGGATAAACGAGATCTGAAAGCATTACGTCTAGTATCTAAATGCATTTGCTCGGTGGCATCCGCAGTGTTGTTTCGCTCAGTTGTACTCACTGCGACCAACCCTGCGCTTGACTGTGCTGGAGCAGATATAATTCTTGGTGCTCACCAGCGAACCAGGGCTCTTCAACACACCAAGGATGTTCGTATCTCGTCAAATCTAGGTTACTATCTTGAGAACATCAGCATCGACCCTAGTGCTCCCGGTAACGATGAACTTGAAATAAATGATGGCCTTGATGAGCCCATAAGTTTCTTTCCCACGGTACATGGCTTTCGTCGTTTCAAGGATAAAGTACTATCTGTTTTGCATCAGTGCAAGGAAGGGAATCTTGGGAGCTTTACGTTAGTCATACCTTTCCCTTTAGGTATAGCTACAGACTTGAAAGTTTGCTAATATAGATTATAGATGGGAACTAGGGAGCTGTGTTCCTCAAGATATCCTAGGGAGCAATGGATATCTTCCCCTAAAGCAGAAGAACCTGACATCTATTCGTCTGATTACCGATGCTTCTTGCGCTCCAATGAATTACAGTCTGAGCCCATTCACCAGACTTACGAGCCTGTCGTGGCATGGAGTAAGGGAAAGGGAAGACCTGACAGCTCTTCGGGAGTGTCTCCGGGTTTGCTCGCACCAGCTGGTTCATCTTGATCTCGACTTTTTACCAAGGGATAAAATTCGTGACGGCGAGTTTGATTTTAAGTCTAATAATAGTTCCTTTACGTACGAGCTTTTGAAGCCGTTTCCTGACCATCACCGAGTATCCTTCCCCAAGGTCCGGGAACTTTCTTTGGCCAACGTCTCGCTATTATATACAGAGGAGTTGACAGAGGCTTTCAAGTTCTCATCGATGCGTTCATTGACATTTCGATATTGTCCCGACTTGGAAGAGCTTCTTGAATACTTTCTATTCTTGGATGAACCCTTCTACATTGATAGATTAGAGATACAAGCGTGGGCTGAAATTACCTTTGAAGATAACCCTGAAGAAACCGATCTGGGAACTGCTATCCTGAATTTCATCGGAATGACACGAGACTTAAAAGAACTTTTCCTTTCCACAAGTCGATGTCCTGAAGCTTGGATCGCCATATTCCATCACTCTCATACACTGAGAAATCTAGTTTTTCACGAACGGGCTGGGCCGGAACCTTGGGAACTCGGGGAACTTCTTAGAGACGCCCCTGGACCTTCAATCATGGATATTTGGGCTTGGGAAAACTGCGCTATCTTCAATGCGGATAACAAACTTAGGTTGGAATTCCTAGGACTCTGTTGTAAGCTGGAGGACTTTGTTTGTCTCCCTGAAGCATAACCTAAATATTCCCGAATTTCAATTTAGATACTCTGCTAACTTGAAGTCATATCATAGTCCCCGAAGTTCTACCCGGAAATAGGTGACAGCCGGGTAAAAGTTCTACATGTTCGGCAGTCTGGCTTAGAAATTCAATTGAAGCTAGAGAACGACTACTATCGCAAGAGCTATACTCTGACTGATTTGCTTAGAGGAAAGCGTAAGATTAGAGTACGTGAAGAAGAAGACAAAGGAAAAGACGGCAACGACGAATCCAATGACGGTAATATTATCCCACAGCCAGTCTGTTCCGGCAATGACCACGATACCACTAAGCCCTCTCGCTCTAACGATGAGGCCACCGACAACCGCGTCTTCCCCAATAGAGCCCTAAGAGCTCTCGGACCCTTTGCAACATGGGCATTCAGTAGGGCTGGGTTCCGCGAACTCGAGCTGCTCACATTTGGTGACTTCTCCCATAACGGAAGATATTCCAAGCAAAATATACTACTTTGTCGACAGAAAGAGCCTCATCCCCCTGGTAGCAAGAATCATCGACATGTTACAAAGGATGATACTACTCTACTAGATTTATTCCAACAGTACTCCCATGCCTTGGGGGCATGTCCCTCCGACCTTTTCTAGATGGACTTGGAGGCATAGCAAGCGATATAAGTTCGTTCCTTTAGTTATAATCCTATTTCAAAAACCAACTAGTAGTTAGCATTTAGTAAAGTGCTCAACAATACTACATACCAATTTGATGTATATATTTCGAAGTACATTGGCTGCTAGCACTTCAAATGGGATGCTGCTCACAACTGGTTTACTTACGGTTGCACACTGGGCTTTGCGAGTCGAGGTAGGCTCTCAATATAGTCGTCTATAGGAGATAACTTTGATCAACTAACCTAGAACTACTTCGCGATTGTGGGAAAAATGGAGGGAAGCGGCGTCCGAAAGTTCACGTACAACACACGGCAATGCCATCCGACCGATTTTAAGATCCTTGGAAAGAATTTAATGTCATTGGGGGGGATAGATCAAGAAGTTATTAAATGCATACAATTAAGGCACTCTAGTTTTCAAACTAAGTTACGGTGAGAACGACAATTAGACTGACTAACTACTTATTTAAATAACTATTTATTATAACTAGTTATCGTAATTTAAAACCAGCCAAACACGCACGCTAGTTATAGGAGTTAGCTACCCTGTTTAACTGACCGAGAAGCATCAACAGGCGGGAGAAAGATATCATATATTTCATTCATACACAGAATATCAAGAAGCGCCCGGTCAGTTGACGATGGCTTCGTTTGGGGAGTTCCATTCTTCTGCGGTCCCGCGACCCGCAGGCGACGCTGGGACAGGCCTTTTCGCAACGTCCACCATCAAGATGGGCAAAAATGTATTCAGCATACCTGTGACCTTCTCTACGGTGCTGAGCACGGAGAGGCTGGGAGACGCATGTTCCGGGTGCTTTTCCAATCTCCCGTTTGGAGCCAACGTCATGGCGAGCGTCGACATGAAGCTGAGGGCCTGCTCTGGCTGCAAAGTAGTCAAGTACTGCAGCAAGGTAAGTCGCACAGTTATATACCTAGCTACTTACAAGTTGGTGAAAATAGGCTTCTAACAGGCGATAGGGATGTCAAGCTGAAAACTGGGCACTTATACACAAGCATGAATGTGCTATATACAAGAAGCTATACCCCAAGATTCTCCCTGTTAACTCAAGGGCAGTGCTCCGGATCGTGAAGTTGAGAAACTCAAAGGACGCCGACGTTCAGTCGGATATGACGATGTTTTTGGGTCTCCGCTCACATTTAAAGGAGATTGCGAGCTCCAATCAGGAACAGTACGAGCGGATAATGCTCTGTGCAAAGGCAGAAAAGGAATACTCGGGCTCAGGCCTTGACCTCGAAACCATCGCCGAGTACTTAGCAAGAGTGAGTAATGATATATATATCTCCTCCGTCAACACTAGTTACTGAACATTCATTGGACATAGATTGAAGTCAACAGCTTCACATTTACAACTTCATTTGGAGACCCGCTGGGGCTATGTATTCAGCCGTTCGCATGCTATATGAATCACAGCTGTGACCCTAATGCCGTTGTTGGGTTTGATGAAGGGCTCATCACTGTCAAAGCCTTGCGCAAAATAAAACCCGATGAGCAGGTGTTTATATCCTACATCGACAATACCTACCCTTTCGAGGTTCGGCAGAAGCAGCTTGCTGAAAGGTACTTTTTCACCTGTAAATGCTCAAAATGCGTCGAAGGTGTCACCGCTAGGGAAGACCAATTCATCTCCCCCAATCCTTCCTCAGAAGAGGTCGAGACTCTTAAGGAGGCCGAAAAACAAGCAAGGGAATTCCTCACCACCGCTAAGAGCTCCAAAGGTGAATCTGCTATAAAACAACTCAAGGGCGCTCTTAAGGTCTTGCATGATACCAAAATGTGGCCTATCACCCGGCAGCCATATCCAGAGATACGATCAGAGTTGATTGTGTCACTACTCGATATAGAGGACTTCTGGTCTGCTTTTAGGCACAGCGCGGTTAGATACCTGTTTGTTGACCAGATACTATATCCCCATGAGTGGCATCCGATCCGCACCAACCATGAATTCGTGTTCTCACAACTAGTCATGACCCTCGTAAATCGACACGCGGGACTGATTCCCAATGAGAGTAAATACCACTTCGATCAGGTATCGATTATTTACCCTGTTCTCGCAAAGCTGAACAAGCACCTGAAGTACGAGTTGCCTAGCGTTGTTAGAGCTTACCAAGAGGAATATGAATCTCTTATTGCTCCGGTGAAGGAAATTGGCTATGATCCATCAACACCTTCTGCGGCCAAGGCAATGGCTCCCGAATGGAAGATTGTTGAAGGTATTGCTGAAGAAACACTGGAGATTGATGGATGAGGTATAATCCTCTGCTTGACAGGCTGGATATAGCCGGGGCGGTCAATTCATATTGGTCTTTTGGCGTACGAATTACGATAACACAAAAATAAAGATACTGGCTGTATGGAATGAATTTTTGCTAGATAATTAAAATCATAAATCTAGCCGCGGGTTGGCATGAACATGATAAAAGCTGTTTTCTCCAAGAGCTTTTCCATTTTCTATGCCGTTACATGACCGGGGAGAACGAGGTTCTGGATATAAGCCCTTCCATACAAAGCAAGAACCCCATCCCTTTTGTGCTCCATGTATGAGAAGATAAAAAACATTTGGACATGACCCAGTACAAAACGTCAAGTTTCCGTGCAGATTATTCGTTTACTTGAGGGGAATGAAACGGGAGGAGTGAGTGGCACCGATACCGGGTCGACCGTGCTTGACAGGCTTGCTAAAAAGGGGAAACAATGTTAGAATGAGGTCTCTTCCCTACAGCTTCTAGAGAAAGGGTACGACAACGTACTATGAGATAGAGAACTCAGCCAAGTAGTGGCCAACCATCTCGGGCTTGATCTCAACCTGGTTGAACTCCTTTCCGGAGTAGATTCCGATAACGCTGCCGATCATCTCTGGTACGACAATCATGTCACGAAGATGTGTCTTGACGAGGTCTGGCTTCTCGTTGGGCTTAGCCTCCTGCTTGGCCTTGCGGAGCTTCTTGATCAAGCCCATTGGCTTGCGCTTGAGACCACGGTTGAATCTGCGGCGAGCACGAGCGTGAACGACATCTCGGAGCTGTTCGGAGGAGAGGTCAAGGAGTCTGCAAGAGTTATTTCGTTAGATCGTATATTCCTTTCATCGGGTTGTGAAGCGCATATTTGTCGTAAAAAGAAGCCAAAAATAATGCTGAGTAGGTCATTGTGTATGGGTAGTCCAGAGGTCAGAACGTACTGGTCGAGGTCGATTCCACGGTAGGAAAACTTGCGGAAGGCTCTCTTTCGCTTGATCTCTATAGGTGGTCGTTTCGTCAGTTAACCGCGGTCTCTTTATCCCATCCATCGATGTATCACAGCAATCCACCACAGCACCGTCCTCCTCTTCCGTTGGGGACACATTTCAGGGTCATCTAGCACGTACCGGCAGCCTCCTCGGCGTTCTATAGAAGTAGTCAGTCGCAAGATCTTTCCCTATCCAGATACCGCCAAAAAAACCTGGTTACTCACATATTCAGCGTCAGCCATGATTGCGGTGTTAGTCTCTCAGCAACACTGGCTTGCCCTTGGATACGAGAAGGGAGAGAAACTGTCGAAAAGTTGAGTTTGTCTGTCTCGTTTTCTTTCTCGACGTCGAAAAAAGTCGATTTGGATCGCGAAAGGTGGAGGAGCGAATTCAGTTAAGCGACCTTAGCCCTAAGTATTTTGCTGACGTAAGTAGCCCTATTCCGGAATGGGATAATTATTATCCGATATCTAGATGTTTTGCCTACCCAGCGACAGCAACGATAAAAGAAGACAAGCTACAATCATATGTATACGTGGGGACATACTTGTTGCAGTGTTTACTGGGAAAAATCTACTAAAAAGTTACTGGTAGTGTAGAAGGTTCAGCAGGGAGCCGTAGGCCGAGTTGCATTGTGATGGTATCAGCAGACTAGAGAGCCTGCATACATCTATAAAAAAAGATAACGATTCCTCCTGATAACAAGGTGAGCCGTTACCCAGACCCAGTCCATTTTCATGTCCGTAAATGAATCAAACAGATTTTCCACCGACTGAACAGAGCCATATCCATCATCATTGTTGGTAACACGCCGAACGAACCATTCACTGCCGCAATTGTTTTTATTTTGTCTTTTTGTGGTATCTCGTAGAGAATGCGCTTAGTCGAAGAGACCGAAGCCCATGTCCTCATCGGAGTCCTCCTCTGGCTCCTCCTTCTTGGCCTCCTCAGCGGGAGCAGCAGCGTCACCGCCAGCAGCAGCGCCAGCGGCAGGAGCAGCAGCACCACCACCGGCACCACCGCTTGGGACGGAGGCGAGCTTGGTGGCACCCTCGGCAACCAACTATAGGGAAATGCTGGATTAGCCCATGCCCCATACTATCTTGCGCGCACATATCACCATTGGCGAAAGGGAGAAATAGCTTACTTCCTGGATGTCCTTGCCATCGAGCTCAGCGAGAAGCTTCTCAACGCGCTCGTTGTCAGCATCGATACCGACAGAGGAGAGAACAGCGCTGATGTCGCTGGCGGATGGGGAGGAGTTTCCGGCAAGGCCGAGGAGAAGGTAAGCTGCGAGGTGCTTCATTTTGATATGTTTTCTATGTTACCGTTCTTAGCTCTCGATCAATTCATTTGTTCCCGATCGCGCTCGACAACAGCACTTCCTTACCTGTTAAACGGGGAGTGAACAAGAGAAACAATCGATTTAACCGCGAGTTGGGCGGAGACTGAGACGTCAAGTTCGGGCTTTTTGGTGACTGTCGTTGTGGAAGAGAAAAGGAAAATCACCAGAAAAAAAGACCAAAAATGTCTAAAAAGCGAAAAAGTGGGCTTATGTAATCTATAGTGTAAGCGAGAAGTGACGCTAGTCTGCTTTGAGTCACTTCACTCTCTGCTGACATAAGCTGACCTTGTTCCTTTTTTCTCTTTGGTATAAATACGTCGTTGAAATCCTCCTCTTGAGTCGAGCTCGTCAACTCTCAACACTCAGCGCCTGCCAGACGTCCTGCGCTGCTGCTGCCTGTCGCATCCCGGTTCCGCGACTACTGCCGACCATTTGCCCCCTTTCAGCCGCTCGCTAGGCCCCCAACTGCTGCCTGAGACCTCATTTCAAGCGCTTGCGCCCCCTGCCAGTCCATATATGAAACGCTGAGAAGTCCGTTATAAAGATCTGCGAACGGACTCTTCTCGCTATGAGGTGATTCTCTGCCTGGGAATCATGAGTTGTTTCCAAACTCCAGTCATCGCTGGTGACCGGTTTCTACCTTCCAAACACACTGAGTTACATATAATATCCAACGCAAACTTGCTACAATGAGTGTGAGTCTTGAGACAAATCCAAAACCAGCCAACGTGTTCTTTGCCAGCATATGACTGATATATAACCTTCCCAAAACAGTTTCTAAACTCCGTCCTCTCTTCTATCGAGACTGGGGAGGTGTCTCTCACCCCACCTCCCCCACCTAAAAGTACAACTCCAGACTCGACGTCCTCAAACCAGAAGCCTTCCCTGAACTCGAAGCTGGCAGCAACCTCGATTAGTGGCAACGGTAATGGCTATACAGGGACAGCCCAGAAACGAAAGGCGGGAGAACAACTGGCGCGGCCAGCCCCGCGAAACGATCGATTTTCAAAGCCGTTGCCCTCTTCCTCTTCCCAGTCGTCAGCTCCGGTTCCACGCCAGCCTAGAGACGGAGATACCACTCGTAAACCCGGACCTAAGCTGACAACCTTAACCACAGCTGCTCCAAAACCTAACATATCTAAACCCATTGCCGCTCCTGTTTCAAACAAGCCACCCCCGAAGGGCTCTTATGCAGCAATCATGGCCGAGGCAAAAGCACTACAGAACAAGGCACCGTCCGCTGTTGGGCTAATAAGACATCAGGCTGTTGCCAAGGATAAAAAGAGCAAAGTCCAACAAAAGAAAATTACTGAGGAAGCCAAACAACGGGATCGGGAACCAACAAACCGGAAGCTATCAAACGAGAAATCCACAGCTGCTGTTCCATCAAGGAATACAAAGGAAGCCATTTTAAAAGCTCGCCAAGCCGAGATGAGCAAACAAGATACATATAAAGGCACTGCCCGTCCACGCCCAGGAAGTCTACCCCCGACACGGTCGTCGGAGTCCTCCTATTCTGGGACATCTGGATTACCTTCCCGCCGTGCCGCAGGAAAAGAAAGCTCGTATGGCCGAAACAAGGGCCGTGGCGCTCCTAGAAATGAGTACCTTGGTACAGACGAGGAAGACGAAGGCGACTATGGCTATGAAGATGAGGACGATTATTCCGATGAATCCGACATGGAAGCAGGCTTCCTTGACGTTGAACAAGAGGAGCAGGCCGCGCTTAGAATTGCCAAACAAGAGGACGCAGAAGAGCTAAGGCTTGAGGCAGCTGCAAAGAAGGAAAAGATGGAACGCAAGATGAAACTGAATGCGCTTGCTAAGTCACGGCGCTAATATAGCTTCTAACCATCCTCACCGATGTGCGCTCACATACCTCTAAACACCACTACCGCCCCTATTGATCTCCTTGGTTCAAACCTATGATTTATCCTTAGCAACTCCCCTGCGGCTTTAGCGATGTCCAATATCCCATTCTACTACTTGTTTAGCGACTTTCACTCTTTCTGCACTGTATGATTGTACGACATTCTGGTCTTTTTCTTTGTTATAGCATGGAGGGAGCATAGGCGCCACAAGTACTTCACTGGCTTTTCCTAGGCGCTTATTATCAGAGGCTGTTTGTTCCCATAGTTATCGTTTCTCTTTATCTTTAACTTATAAATCTCCAGGGTTCATTGTTCTTCCTTGTTCCCTACCACTTGCTATCCTTGTATCTAGAGTACGAGTTGGTTATCGATAACCAAACATGCAGTGACATCATAACTAACCCTTTTAAGCTTGTTTCAACTACAACCTGCAACTTATCAACATCTATCCACCATCTACTTTATACGGATGCTCATCCTCGAGCGACAATATTAATATATTCATGATATTAAGCATATCATTCTGCTCCCATGTCGTCTCCTGCGTCCCCAAGCATGTCGTCAGCCTCAAAGACTATCCTCGGCAAGGTCCGCAAGATTGTCCCGCCAATGCTAGAGAGATTCCACAAGGGTAGGTAATAGTATATTTTCCGTGGATTATACTACGGCCTTGAGATTTCTTGAAGTATTTATTGATCAATCATTTGCTAATATCCTTGAAAGGACAACTTGGCCGGGTTTGTGTTATAGGGGGAAGCTCTGAGTAGGCCCCTCCACCTATACCCATTACTTTGGTTACTATTACCCACCCAGTTATCCTTCTAAAGCCGGGTTGCATAATAGTAATTCATTGGCCTTAATAATGATGCCAATTTACCACAAGAACATTAAGAGGATACTTTCATTGACTGTTTGCTGTTTATTGTTTAGTTACACCGGTGCCCCTTATTTCTCTGCCATGGCATCGGCAAAACTAGGCTGTGATATGGTAAGAACAGCCCACATTAACCGAGATAGAATATACCACTAACAGGTTTAAATGAAGAGCCATGTTATTTGCGAGCCATCTGCCGCACCAGTGATCAAAACCTATTCACCGAACTTGATGGTTCATCCCATCCTTCAGAGTAGCTCAAGCGTACAAAATGATACCACTAACAAGAGCGTCTCCGACCATGTCAAGCCAATTGTTGACTTTTTACCCCGTCTTCACGTTCTTATCATCGGTCCAGGCCTTGGTCGAGACCCGTTAACTCAGAAGATAACGGCCGGTGTGATTAAAGAAGCAGTTAAGCAAAATGTTGCTCTAGTCATGGATGCTGATGCCTTGATAGTGGTTCAAAACGATCCAAAACTAGTATACGGTTATAAGGAATGCATATTAACCCCAAATGTAGTGGAATTTGCTCGACTGAGCAAATCAGTTGGTCTTGAACCCCCATCAAGTGAGGGCAAGTCTGCATCAGACAAAGAGAAATCTACCTCCGAGGCATGCGAGAAACTATCTCAGGCACTGGGCGGTGTTTTAATTATTCAGAAGGGGCCTCACGACGTGATTTCTAATGGCGATGTATCCATCATATCTGATGTTGAAGGGGGGAAGAAACGAAGTGGTGGGCAAGGTGATACACTGACAGGTTCTCTCGGAACTTTCATGGCTTGGAGAAAAGCATACCATGATGGTCTTTGGGAAAACGGGTCAGCTCCAAGCAGCCATGAAGGTTCTGGGGATGATGCCGAAATGATTAAAAGGGAACTTTACGGTGATAGCGATAACGATGGCAAGAGGATGTCAACGAAGACTACATTGCTACTGGCTGCTTGGGCCGGCAGCGCTATTACACGAGAATGCTCCAGGAGGGCGTTTCTGGCAAAAGGTCGAAGCATGCAAGCTGGCGACTTGACTGAAGAGGTCCATGGAAGTTTCATGGAACTAATTGGAGAGAGGCAAGAGGACGGCTCGAAGTTGTGAACGATCGCAATATTCGTATGCATATTTATGTTTTCTTCTATGCAAGAGGAACACATAGTGAACGCTAGTATATGTATGTAACGGCACGACAGAGTGATCATAGCTGAACAGGAAGAGAAAGCTGAACAAATATACGAGTATCACAACAAGACCCGCCTCGTAATAACAATAATAATCAGAATATGTAGTTCCCGCAGGAGTTTATATGTTGGATATGAAATGAACAGCCCCTTGAACAGCCAAATAGGCGCCAAGTTGTGCCGTCTGGGCGAGGAAGCTCGCACCAAAGGGGGCAAATAAAAAAAGAAGAAAATCATGAAGAAGAAGGGTAGAAAGTAAAATCATGAACAGCATAAGCGGGAAGTCATAACTATCAGGTCGTTAATGGTATCGTAGAGTTTTTCGTTTATTGTAAAAGGGGTTAAAAGGAAACGAAAAGGAAAAAAACGGAAGGGAAAGAACGAGTCAACGAACGAAAGCAATAGCAAAAGGACGGGTAGATATTGCAAATGGTGTTTAAGATGGCTCTGTTGGAGACGTCACAATCCAATTGGACAAGGTAAAGTCTTCTAAGAGACCATCGTCAGGGCAATTACCAACTTCTTCCATGTTTGCAAGTTCTATTGAAAACTGATCCACGGTTTGATGCAAATCAGGGGCCTCTTCGGGTGTAGGCATAGATGGGATATCCGGGGTTGGCTGGCTATTTTCACGTCGTCTCTTTACACCTCTCGGCGACATAGATGCTCGCGAACGTCTTCCTCTCGAGCTTGCGCGGAAAGTTCGGATTTGACGGTGGCCCCTGAGTGAAGAGGCTGCGCCATTCTCTTCTGTCTCCATCATCTCCTCGAAGTGTGACTTGCTATCAACACTTTCAGATTTTGTCGTTTCTGTCATGCTGCTGGCATGCTGTAGAACTCTCCCAAAGAATTGCATCTTTGCTTCGCCTTTGGTGAGATGACTATCTGGGAGAACCCAGCTAGAGATATGTTGGCCGGCTTCGAAATGTTTGTAGATGTGATCGAATCTTTTCCATTGAGGCACTGAAACCTTCTACAATCACAGGTACTAGCACTTTGCAAAAACCGCACCAAAATCGGAACTGGCAGTCTCCGCCAATTCTATTGGTATTAAGGCGCCGCTGTATCTCAGCTTGATCGTCGATTCCATGGCTCTTAAGATGGGATTCGTACAATACCCTACGCTCAAACATCCGAGCACAGTCTCTTGAAGGGTCTGTTATATCTGGGTCATCACAGCGCCAGCGCTCAAGATGGGTATGACGTGAGGATTCATGGCGTTTCCAGTCCGCTTTGCTACCGAAAAACTTGTAGCAATCTTTGAATGTACATCCATAAGGCTTACAATGTCGTTTCATATGCTTCCTAGACGATTGGCACATTTATTAGTTGCACTGTACAATAATATAACCCCATATAATCGTACTAAATTGAATT